GAATATCAATTAGCAAAGCAGATACAAGTGCCTTATATTTTCTGAGACAAACAGATTTTGAGTCTTATAAGTATTGAGAAACTATCCAAATTTAAGTTCAATTACTCACGGCTGATAACATGAGATAGTTGGGGGCAAGCACATTGAAACAACACAAGAGATAATTCGTAAGTGACATACAAGTTTATCATGGCAGTCCCATGCTATAATTAGGGAAACTAAGATCAAGAAGAAAATCTTCAAGTTAACAATGGTATTACCTTCATCAATAGCCAATTGGATGGCTCTTTTCTCCAGATCAACAGCGTGTCTGCTGAGCTCACTAGGTGAAAGATGTAGAAGCACTGCAAAAGACAATCCAAATGCATTATATTATAACGGTGGAAGAAAACCAACAATGCTAATCGTGTCATCATGTGAAAGAGAACCTACTCTGAATATAATCATTATAGTCAGACTCATCACACTTCTTCAATAACATTTGCAGGCGAGCAAAACGTGCTGTCCGCTGCTGATCGTCAGCCACCATGAAATCAAGTGACAGGGACTTATCAGAAATGAGCTTGGCAGAATCAGCTTGAGCAGACCGTGGGAGCCTATTATTAGACTTTCCAGCTGAAATAATATTATCTGGCACGGTTATAGAAGCATTGCTGACATTGTTCTCTTTCAGCTGATTTGCCTTTGGATGAACTTCCTTTTGTGGTTGGCACACACGCTTTGCAGGGATTGACTCTACATATTTTTCCAAGTCATTTTGAGTTCTTCCTCTACCAAGTTCTAATTCAATTCGTCTCCGGGCATTGATTATATGATCATTTGCGCCATTATTGGCTAATGACAGATGGCAAACAGGACTTGAAGGGCGCTCAGGAGTGAGCCTCTTATTCCCGCAGACCCTAGTTCCCTCTGAATCAAGTTTTGTGCTCAATAATAATGAACTGTCCCGATGGTTAGTTATCAGGCTGCCGTTTTGGTTCTGCACATCTCTTAAAGCAATCTTCTTAGGGACACCAGTTAGCTGATTATCGACCAAAAGATTTTTAGCAGTTCCGTTACTGGTTGTGCCATTACTAAGCTGAGAATTTATCATCTGTAGTACCAGATGAATTCACAGCAAAAAGGACTAAATAGAGAGCTTTCTGGCTTCCTTACACTGAACACATGGAAAGGGAAAAATAGCATTCCTTCAGCACAATCTTTAAATAAAAACGCAGGAAACACATAAACATCTTCAAGGCATTAATTAAAAAAAAACACCGGTCGCCAAATATTAGTCAATAATAATATAATCATAATAATTACAGAATAAGCTTGGGTATGACCTAGCAGCTGAAACGAATAAACGAAATGCAGCAGCTCCAAAATGGATCTGATCAAAAGTCCGTATAGCTTGGAGAATTCATCAAAAATTCCCCCCAACCTTTATTAAAATGCGTAAGTTTTTTCTTCTCCAAATATTCCATATTTAATAAATATCCTTAGAAAGCTCACATCGCACCAGCAGCAATTCAAACAAACACCCAAAATTCAATTTTCTCAACCACTGTTTCTACTGAATTCAAACAAAATACCTAACCCAGAGTTCACAGCGTATGCATAATGAGCAACTTAATCCAGAAATGTCAAACAAACAGAAAGAAAAAATTATAGCAATTCAGGAGTGAAAAAACATGGAAAATCCTTGCAATTTCACTGTACTGTTAATGGAAGCAACTAAAGAACACTGGGCAAAATTGTCTTCAATTATCCAGACAGACCCAAACTGAACAGTGACAAAAAATCCCTAATTGAAACCCTCCAAATTCCGAAATCGTAGCAGAGAATCAGAAATACGGATTGTGCATTTCAAGTAAACGACAGTATACAAAAAAGGCGAGCGCAGGACTGTTAGCGTAGAGAGATGAAAGCCTTACAGCTCTGAAACCCAAACGGAGGGGCGGCGCCACAGTGAAGGGGTTTGTTTCAAAAGAGGGAAGTTTGGCTCCAAATATTGAAGACTACTCATGATATTGTCATTATTACTACTCCCTCCGTCCCAAATTATTGCCACATTTGTATTTCCGAGGTAAAATATAAGTTTTTTCAATTCATTTTATTTACATATTGGTAAAGATATAAAAAATAAAATTTACATATAAAAAAATTACATGCAAAGTTCTTCGAATAAGAGGTGTCAAGAATATTTTATTTTATCAAATAATCAATGAAAACATCAAAATAAACAAAAGTTCCCGACACTGCTGAAAAAGCAAATGTTGTGAATATTTAGGGACGGAGGGAGTATGACTCTACAAGTACAGAGTATAAATTATTCTCTAGAAATCAAGGACTAGAGCATAGTAGAAAAGTATCAAAATAAAATTTTTATATTTTTTTCCTCGAAATATGACTTTGCATTGTGGTATTATGTGACTGTACATATGCACATTACTATAATTTTTTTGGTAATGCATGACCATGTTTGGTAATGTAAGTCCTATTTCGAGAAAAAAAACATGGAAGTACTATTTTGGTATATTTTCAATGTTTTAGTCCTACTTTGATCTTTCTCCCTTACTTCTCACATTTAGGTACAAGATCTGTTTGGAAAATCACTTTTCGGATAATTTTTGGCATCTTTGACTGATTTTGGTTTTTTGACCAATCAAACAGCCAAAACTATTGTTTCGCTAATAGATTTTACACTAGACATTTTGATCCGAAAAGTCAAAATCTAAAAAACCAATGGGAGTAGCTTTTTAGACTTGGCTGCTAGGAAAAAATAATTTTTTAAATCATTTTTCTTGAAAGATATTCTATAATACATGCTAAAAAATAAAAGTAAAAGTTAAAAAATCAAAACTAAAAAAAAATAAATTTAAAAATTAAATATTTCAAAAAAAAAATGAGATGAGAAAATCAAAAGTAAAAATTATTAAAAAGTTGTATATTCATAATTTCTTATGAATTAAATGAAAGTAAAATTTAATGTTCCATATACTAAAGATTTAATTTTTACATGTAAAAAAAAAAAGAAAAAATCATGTGTGAGTGTGTGTGTGTATATACTACCTCCGTCCCACTGTCTTTGTCCACTTTTGACTTTTGAAACTGTTCATCTAAGTACTTTGACTCATCAAATTCTCTCAATGTGTAAGCCTAAATATAGTCATGTGTGATCTTGTTTGATTTGTCTTAACATATAGATTATTAATATATAATTTCTATAATTTTTTAATATATAAATTAAAAGATAAAATGGATTAAAGAAGTGCATTGGATGGTGTGCCAAAAGGTAAGTGGACAAAGACAGTGGGACGGAGGGAGTATATTGCAACAACTATTTTTCAAATAGCTAATTAGACCAAACATTTTTAACGATCAGCCAACTTATTCTGCTAGTCAAATCAGCTAAACTAAACGGCCAACTCACAACAGCTGACACGTACCGCCAACAAGCAACAACCGACAGCCAACATGCAAACAAGGTCATATTCATTTTGGTATAATAGGATATTCATTTTGGTGTAACAAAGTATTTGTACTTATTATCAAATATAACTGGGTTTTTAGAAAAATGTGTATTCAATTATTTGAAAATGAGTATTTCGTTACTCGAAAATGAATACCCAACTACTTGTAAATGTGTATTCACCGCGGATGTACGGAAAATACCGTACCACCGGTTATAGGATATATTTTTTGCTTCAACATATGCTTTAATATTTCAAAAATACTTAGGGCAATGGATGCAAACAAAAGTGTAGGATATATCCTTTGCCATCTAGTATATGACTAAAGCATAATTTACGTTCTCTCAAATGACTGTCTGACCGATTCTGAGAAGCCATCGGTAATGAGGCTCATCTTTTTTGTTTTAAAAAATACTTAATATACTTGGGTACGCTAAATTGTATCCTAACTTGTATCCCATATATTTCTCCACCACGACATTGATACATAGAATTACATGGACGCAACCACGAAGGGAAGTGCTTGTTTCAAGGATTAAATTTGTATCTTTTATAATAATCTAATTAGTTCTTTTTAGGTGAAAATTTTATAAGTTCCTTTGAGAATTTTTTTACGGTTCTTTACATCGTTGTTTTTTTGAACTGTCAAGACAATAAATGTAATCGTAATTTCTTCAACATTCTTCATTTAATTAACTACATTATTAAAATTTATAAAAAACTTATAAATTTCTTTTACATTACATATTATTCATATATTAGAATATTAGGTTTATATATTAAAATATTAGATTTAAAAAAAAATAACCCTGACCCGACTTGGAATCGAAGCCAGAACCACCGGTTTTGGAATCAAATTGGGAACCGCCCCCTCTGGTGGCTGTTACAGTGCCTCTTCTCGGTGGAATCGGATCGGAACTGTACCGTCTACAGCCTATATACAACCATTGTACGTGAAACTAATTAATTATAATTCGATTCAGTTTAATATGTTGTCCATGAATGACGGTTTGTTTTAAGCAATTTGTGTCTATAAAAAATACTCTTTGTTCACATGTTTATTAGCGAGTTGTTTTAGGAATACATAAGATTCGTATCTCATTACACACCATGTGGTGTTTTTCCGTACTAATAAATTGATCAAAACTGTATATAAACAGTTTTTAACTTAGAAGTCAGCTGATGATATGTTACTTCGTGCTTATAAGTTGACTTATGGATTGTATATAAGTCAAAAAAATAAGTAAGTCTAGCCTACTTAATTTTAAGGCAGTTTTTTTTGTTTTTTTGTTTTTTGGTTTGACTCGATTATTTATAAAATTGTCCATAATCATTTATGAATATTTCAAAATGAAATATCTATTGTTTAAGTGATTTTATTTTTACGAAAAAATATTTGACTTATAAACAACTTATAAAGTAAGAATTATTTATAAAAACTATTTTCTTACAAGACATTGGGTGGATACAAATGTTGATGTATCCTATCATCTTTCTTGTTACTCGAAGCATATGCCTTGCTTCATCTGTCATACAAGACAAGGGCACAGACAAGAAATTGTTGTTTGTTTTACACTGTACGGTACGGCACGGCAGTGTGAAGTGAAGCCGTCATCCTCCATTAATATATACCGCCAATTAACACTCCTCTCCAAGTCTCCGAGCTGAAGAAGCTGCTGCAATTAATAATATGCACACCCCTTGCGCCAGCTTATTCTTATCACCCCCTTCTCATGTCTCTTTGATCCCCATTTCATCCTTTAATCTTTCCCCGGTAAATTCAATCCCACCCTTTATTTGTTCTTCAATTATTCTGCTCTTCATTCTTCGATTCTTCGATTTGACATTTTTTTAAAATATTATAATAATAATGTAATCGTGTTTTGTGGGCAGGGTTCCAGAAACAAGCGATCTCTTGCTTCACCTCACTGCCAAGGTACTGGCCGGACATTTGGTTCTCATAAATTGTCCAGGGAAGCTTTTCATATCCCAACTTCATGGCTCTGGAATAACCTATGGGTAAGTTTGATTCTTCTTTTTTAGACAGTGTCATGAAAACAGTTGACAACAAAATCCCGGTCCTTTACTGATGACAGCATTTGGTTCATTTGCATATGTTGTGGAGAATGCTAATAGGTCTGGTTGTGTACAAATAACTTATAGATTCCACAAGCTTTATGGCACTCGAATTGATTACTAATGAAACGAATCTCATGAAATTTTGCTTAAGCATCAAACTCGTCTTGTTATTGTTTTGTCATGTCATCAATGCGAGTAACTGAGCAATCCATGTTCACTTTCTCAATGAGTGTAGGGTTTAACGTAAAGTAATGATTTTGTTCCTTTTCTTTTTGCCACAGAGGAAGCGTAATTCAAATATTTCATCAACCTTGACTGATGATAGTCCAACAATGGCGGAATCAGAGAAAGAAATTGAAAATGTCCACCTTCTTAGCCTGGACCGAGGACTGGAATCATATAAAGATCACTTCAGATATAGAATGAAGAGATATTTGGACCAAAAAAAGCTCTTAGAAAATTATGAAGGGGGTCTTGAGGAATTTTCTTTAGGTAATGCTAAAATCATTGCATTGGAGTTTGGAGGTCTTCTTCTTAGATAAAAAAATGCATTTGAGATAGAGCTGAAGTTACTATTAAAGATTTAATTATTCACTCCTTACTGGAGGAAAGTTTGCACAACTTAAAGAGATTCACTACTTGATGCAACAACAAACCCGGTAGGATTTCACAACAATATACAGTTACACTATGTTTGGTTCAAAGAATTTGTAGGGGAAAAGAAGAGAAAATGAGATGGAAAAGAATTTTTCTTGTTTGGTTAGAGAGGAAAAGAAAAGAAAAGTGGAAGGAAAAGAAAATGAGAAGGCAAAAGTACTAAGAGGTTGGAAAAATAAATTCCTCTCGTTTTGGTGAGGAAAATGAGAGAAAATTGTTTTCTTCTCTTTTCCTTCCAAATTCCTTGAAACAAACATACTGTTAATTTTATTTGCTTTGAGTAACTTGGAGGGGAGGGGAGGAAAGGAAGCAATTTCATTTGTTTGGTTGGGGAAATTATGGGGAAGGGGGAAGAAACCAGAGGAGCTATAACATCCTCCTAACTATTTTGTGAGATTTCGAGAGAGTAATTTTTTGTTAATTAATTTATAATCATTGCCTCCAATATGTTCTTGAACCATTTCTTTTACATTATAAGTTTATTATCAAACATTTAGATTTATATATTTTTAATTACGGAGTACCACACAAATTATACTCGGGTATCAGATATGATGTTTATTCACATTTTTCCAAAATACTAATTCCTCCCCACTCCATTCATTCATTTTTTTTCTATTCAATTTTCCCCCATCCTCTCCCCTCCTTTGAATCAAACAAGGGCCTAGAGTATAAATTTAGATGTATCCATTATCCATTAGTTGTTGGGTGTGCGTACGTGGCTTAATTAAGTGGCTTCTCTCTTTCTTGCAGGCTATTTAAAATTTGGTTTCACCAAAGAAAATGGTGGCATTGTCTATAGGGAATGGGCACCTGCAGCTCAGTAAGTTATGGTGGCTATTGGAGGCTGTGCTCATTCACTATGTACTGTGGTTAGCATAACCTGTTAAAAGTGCAGGGAGGCAGAAATTGTAGGTGATTTTAATGTATGGACCTGTTGAAAGTGCAGGGAAGCAGAAATTATAGGTGATTTTAATGAATGGAATGGGTCTCGCCACCGGATGGAGAAGGACAAGTTTGGTGTATGGAGCATAAATATCCCTGATGATGATGAAGGAAACCCAGCTATCCCACATAAGTCTAGAGTTAAGTTTCGTTTTAAAGACGGGAATGGAGCTTGGGTTGATAGGATCCCTGCTTGGATAAAGTATGCTACTGTAGATCCTACAAAGTTCGCTGCTCCTTATGATGGCGTCTACTGGGACCCACCAGCTTCTGAAAGGTAAACTTGCTTATCCTTGGGCACTTCAAACTGAAGTGGTTTTTTGCTATCATTTGAGGATTGAGAAAACACTATCTAGTCATCAGCCTTTGATTATTGCATGCCAATTTAAATCCTCACGGAGTATATAAATGCTCCTATATGAATATGAAAAATGATGGTGAAAGAAGCCAGGGAACAAAATAGAAGGAAAGAGAATTGGGGAAAGAAAATTTTTGTTCAAACTCATTTTATTCATATATTTCTGTTATATAGATACATGTAAAATTTCATAAAGTTTTAATCAAATTTGATTTTCCTTCATAATTTCCAAGGTAAAAGCAAAACCATTAGAAACTATTTTCTTTAATACAAGTACTTTTTTCTCCTTTCCCTACGACCCTACCGTGTTTTCTTATTCCAAAAATAGCCTAAAGTTGATGAGTCATGCTCACTTTCACATCATTCATGTAACGCTGATAATATAATTTGCCCATCTATAATGCAACATGTCCAAGGTATCAATGGTTCACATTCTCTGATAAATTTACAGGTATGACTTTAAATTCCCACGTCCTTCTCAACCCAAGGCCCCACGCATATACGAAGCTCATGTTGGGATGAGTAGCTCGGAACCTCGTGTCAACTCATACCGAGAATTTGCCGATGATGTTTTGCCTCGTATTAAGGAAAACAATTATAACACAGTCCAATTGATGGCTATAATGGAGCATTCCTACTATGCATCATTTGGGTATCATGTCACAAACTTTTTTGCGGTGAGCAGCAGGTCCGGAACGCCGGATGACCTTAAGTATCTGATTGATAAAGCACATGGGTTAGGTTTAAGGGTCTTGATGGATGTTGTTCACAGCCATGCTAGCAACAATGTCACTGATGGCCTTAATGGCTTTGACATTGGCCAAGGCTCACAAGAGTCTTATTTCCACAGTGGAGACCGTGGCTACCATCAAGTGTGGGATAGCAGACTCTTCAACTATTCCAATTGGGAAGTCCTTCGTTTCCTTCTTTCAAACTTGAGGTGGTGGCTTGAAGAGTACAAATTTGATGGGTTTCGGTTCGATGGAGTTACTTCTATGTTATATCATCATCATGGTATCAGTTTTTCATTCACGGGAGACTATAATGAGTACTTCAGTGAGGCAACAGATGTCGATGCTGTGGTTTATTTGATGCTTGCTAATACGCTGATCCACAGTATCATGCCCGATGCGACTGTGGTTGCTGAGGATGTGTCCGGTATGCCCGGACTTTGCCGACCAGTGTTGGAGGGGGGTATCGGGTTTGACTATCGGCTAGCAATGGGTATTCCGGACAGGTGGATGGATTACTTGAAGAATAAGAAGAGTGTTGCGGATTGGTCAATGAAGGAAATAACACGGAGTTTGACGAATAGACGTTACAATGAGAAATGTGTGGCTTATGCTGAGAGTCATGATCAAGCTATTGTTGGAGACAAGACTATTGCATTTATGCTAATGGACAGTGAAATGTATTCTGGCATGTCTTGTTTGACAGAAGCTTCTCCTGTTGTTGATCAAGGAATTGCACTGGTCAAGGTTTGTTTGTTACACCTTATTTGGTAGAAGCTTCTCATGTTGCCTTGTGTTTGGGGATGTGACAAATTTGATTTCCTTAAACATATTTGCAGATGATCCACTTTTTAACGATGACATTAGGAGGAGAAGGATACCTAAATTTCATGGGTAATGAGGTAAGATAATATAGAGTTACACTCTAGCCAGCCCCTTGGAAGACTAAAAAAGTTTGTTATTGTAGTAGTAGTAGTAGTAGTAGTAGTAGTAGTAATAATAATAATAATAATAATAATAATAATAATAATAATAGTAATGAATATTATTATTCTTATTTGTGCATTGTAGGATTATCTTTGTGAAATACAGTTTTTCAAAGCCCGGGGTCCTTACGTAAATAGCCTCTACTTGTATACATCTCACCATCTGAAGACATTACCTCTGGGTGGGACACTGTATTTTGATTTGTTTATTTCAACAACGTAACATATCATTTTCCTTTTTGTAGTTTGGCCATCCTGAGTGGATTGACTTCCCTAGAGAAGGAAACAATTGGAGTTATGACAAGTGTAGGCGTCAGTGGAATCTTGTGGATACGGCTCACTTGAGATACAAGGTTCAAGATTTTAATGAAATATACTCTGTAATACGATGGGTTTTAATTCCCTCAATGGATCATCAATTAATCTTGGCCAAAACAAAAACTAGCCCTACCTCCATCTTTTTTCCTTCAGTATTCCGTACAATGTAGTGAGAACTGTAGTTATTATGTCGTGTGTCTGATAACTAAGGCGTTGTTTGGTAACTTTTGTTTTCTGTTCGGCACCAAACGAACCCTAAATTTCTGTTTCTCCTTCAAATGCAGTTCATGAATGAATTTGACAGGGCCATGAATTTGCTTGATGAGAAGTTTTCTTTCCTTGCTTCAGAAAAGCAGATAGTAAGCAGCATAGACGAAGATAATAAGGTAACACTGTACACACTAAAGATGAAATGGATTGATGGATGAATACCGCAAATATATTCTTTGCTAATCATGCAGGGTTAATCAGAAGCGTAAATTATACATTAACATCTTACCACTTTTCCTTGACAGGTAATTGTATTTGAGCATGGAGATCTGGTGTTTGTATTTAACTTTCATGCAGAGAATACATATGAGGGGTACACTTTTCTTTCCAGCCTGAGCAATTTGTTTCATATACATATGAGGAGTGTTTATGAATGTTATGTTTCGTGTGTAGAGAACAAATTCAAGTATTCAACCAAAGCCAAACTAGAACTGCATATTTTCACGGCTTCTCCTCATCCTTCTTATTAAACTGAAACATGCCAGGTACAAAGTTGGATGCGACTTGCCAGGCAAATATCGAGTTGCATTGGATAGTGATTCTTGGGCCTTTGGCGGGCATGGAAGGGTGAGTAGCTTGTTTTAAAAATATCATGGCTTTTAACGCTATGAGTGTATCTGTTAGAGTCTATCCCACATCGGAAAGTTGAATAGAAAAGCTATCGGTATATAAGCTCTTGAGTTTAACTAACTAATAGATTGGATTCAATCTTTTAATACATACGGTTTAACCCAAGTGTCTTATTGACCAATCCAGTTGTCCATACCCAATCCTAAATTCTATCAGTATCCCATTGTGTGTGATAGAGACGCTTTTTTTCTTCTTCTTCTTGATGGATAGGTGGGACACGATGTAGACCATTTCACATCACCAGAAGGGATACCTGGAGTTTTTGAGACAAATTTTAATGGTCGTCCAAACTCGTTCAAAGTCCTCTCTCCTGCTCGGACTTGTGTGGTAAGACCCCCCCCCCCTCCCTCAACTTTTACCCGTTCGTTCTGTGTTGGTATTCCATAATATTGTGGCTGGTTCCAAAAGGCTCCTCGTTTCAAAAATCTCATGACTAAACTTGGCACATTGCTTTCCCCTCATTCGTGAAGGCATATTACAGGGTGGAAGATAGCACGGAGGAAGTAACAGCCAGTGAATCTGAAACCATGCCAATCAATGTAGCTTTGGTGGCAAGTGATGATGATGGTCTCCAAGAATTACCCACCGTAAATGATAGTGGTGTCGGTAAAAGTGAGAAAAAAGAGGAGTCGGAGTCGGAGGAGGAAGAGAAAGCAAAGAATCTGCACATGGACGAAGAAGTCCAAGGTGATCAGCTGTCCACCATTAAAAGTGAGACAGAAGAGTCGGAGGAGAAGGAGAAAATGAGTCAAATGACGAATCTGCCCACCATTAAAAGTGAGACAGAAGAGTCGGAGGAGAAGGAGAAAGTGACGAAGCTGCCCACCATTAAAAGTGAGGCCATGTTTACCAGTCTAGGTGAAGAAGGTCATCAGAAGTCTCCTGCCATTAGTAGTAGTGAAGTCAGGGAAAGCGAGACTGAATGTCCAGATGAGAACATGAATGAATCTCAATGATGTATACACATACATGTATGTTGTGCTGGGCTGCTGTTGTGAGAATCTCGTTCATTTTTACAGTTTTTTTGGTGCCATGGATTGGAAGAGAATCTGTTTTTTTCTGTTTTTTTTTCTTTTCTTTTTTTGTAATTTAAAATTCCATAATAGTGTGGTTAGAAACTTGAATTTGGATTTCAAATTTGGATTTGATCCAAATTACTTATTTGAGAATTCAAAGAATTTTGATTTGGATTTCGACCAAAGTCTTCTAATTTCAAATTAACTTAGTTACAATTGTACACCTCTAAGCATGTCACTTACATATTCAAATTTAGTTTTTTTTTTTAATTTATAACTTGTAATTAAAGAGTGATTTTTCTTATAGTACAAAAAATGGCAACACTCAATTATAAGTATGCCAAAGTGCCAAACAACAAATGGCGGTGGGTAAAACTAATGGGCAACAAGTGTAGACCAGAGAACCCCAGTTTCTGAAAGGATTGTCGTGTTTCATTCAAAATTCACAAACTCCAAATCCACCCATCGGACCTCCGCCGGCCCTCCGCCATGTTTCTTGTCAAGGTAATATAAGTCAACGCCGGTTTCTCATTTGCTTATGTAAATACAGTAATTTATACCTCGTTGGTAACGGATTTTGCTGCAAGCAAACCGCAGGCATGGAGGACTACAGCCTTTTCCGCCTACGGGTACCTAAATTTCACCAAATCCGGTTTTTTGTAAGTACCCTTATGCTTTGCTGCTTGTGCTTTCCTTTTTCTTTTTTACTGCTTCCGGACAGGATACTCTGCTCTTTTTAGGCGCGCTTGTTTTTTTTTTTTTTTTACCGTTTCTGAGGTTTTCTTTCTTCTATTGAGATGAATTTATGATTTAGCTTTGTTGCAATGGAGAGAGTATATCTTTTGAGAATTTCAAACTAATAATTGTATTGCTTTACACTATGTTTGGTCGGAGGGGTTACCATGATATTGGAACCCCATGGGATGACCCGGGGCGCTACGGTGTCCTGTTCGTAAAATTGAATGTTCCTACCACCTAACCCCCTGTAAACCCACACCCCCTCAATTGCACCTCCAATTTAATTTTGACTTTGGAGTCAAAATTAACTTGGGGGTGCAATTGAAGGGGTGAGGGGGTGTGTTCGGGTCGGGGTAGGGTGGGGGTTTTACCAGGGGTTAGGAGGTAGGAACCATCAATATTACGAACGGGGTACCGTAGCGCCCCCGGGTAATCCATGACATTGCCGGCAATGTCACATGAACGGCCCCGATGTTCGGTTGAAGGAATTTGAAAAGGAAAAGAAAAGAAAATGGGAGGAACATTTTTTTTTTGTTTGAGTAGGAAGGAAAAGAAAAGAAAAATGAGAAGTAAGATATACTAAGAGGACGGAATACCAATTTCCTCTCATTTTGGTGATGAAAATGAGAGAATACCATTTTCTTTTCCTTCCAAATTTCTTGAATCAAACTGGTGTTAATAAATTTGAACCACATCTTTCTAATGGTCTTATACTCTTGTGATAGTTTCTGTTCCTTGAAGGCTTGTTTTTGGTTGGGGAGATTTTGGGAGGGATGGGAAGATTTTTCTTTACTAGTTATGCTCTTCTTTCGACTGTTTTGACCTTCGAGTTTACAGAATATTGTCCCCTAGACATCCAAGTGTTAAGTAAGGCTGCTAATACAATCCAGGGAACACTCTAAGAAATTCAATCCTGAAGATATGGAAGCAAGAATGGAAGCTAAAAACTGCGTGGTTACTGGTGCAAATTCTGGCATTGGTTTTGCAATTACCCAAGGCCTCGCTTCACGGTTTGGAGTCATTTCTTTTCAAATCTCAACATTCTATAATTGTGCCTCTTTTTTCTGGTTTTCATCCGCTTACATATATATATATATATATATATATATATATATATATATATATATATATATATATATATATATATATATATATATATATATATATATATATATATATATATATATATATATATATATATATATATAAGTTCCTACGATATTCCATTAAGATGATGCTATGAACACTGATGTTGCCTTGTGTTTTCAGAGGAGCAAATGTGTATATGGTTTGCCGGAATAAAGAGAGGGGGGAAGCAGCTCTTTCCCAAATCCGGTCAACCACTGGGAATGCAAATGTTTTCTTGGAAGTAGTTTGCTAGCTTACTCTCATGTACATGATTTTGTATGCGTTATATAGGCCTGTGATGGCTCATCAATCATAGTCACTTTTTTTTGGCAGGTGTGTGACATTTCATCTGTGAGTGATATTAAAGCATTCGCCTCCAGATTCTCTTCAACTAAGTTGCCCATTCATGTCCTGGTATTTGTTTTACCGTGTTTTTATTTTCGTTAGGAATATAAAATTTTCCATAATGGGTTGGCTTATTTTTGTATCTGCTGAGATTGCCTCATTTCTTTAGGTAAATAACGCTGGACTACTTGAGAATAATAGAGTTACTACACCAGACGGGTATGGTTATTTTATCGTCTTTCAAAGAACATGAATTGTACTTCAGATTTATGTTGATAGTATTAAATCTAATAATCTTTTGATAATAATCCGTAATCAGATATGAGATGAATTTTGCTGTGAATGTTCTGGGAACTTATACCCTTACAGAGCTGTTGTTGCCTCTCCTTGAGAAGGCTGCACCAGATGCCCGTGTGATTACAGTTTCATCAGGTGGAATGTACACTGCTCCCTTAACCAATGATTTACAGGTAAATTATTAGTATATTTCTCCCATTCCAGTCAATTCCTTCTCGTTTCTATGGACAGTTCATGTCCTGAATTCTTTTTTTTAATTACAGTATAGCGGTGATAAGTTTGACGGAGTTGAACAATATGCTCGTAACAAACGAGTTCAGGTATGTGACACGTTCTAGTTTAATGTTTATTGTTTTTCCAACGGTTAGGGCTTACCTCTGATGACATGATGCACTTTCCTCCATCCCAATGAAGAACAGTGACACAGACACAATGTTGATGTACTAATGTTATGACATGGCAGGTCGCATTGACCGAGAAGTGGTCTGAAATGTATAAAGATAAGGGCATTGGGTTTTATTCGATGCATCCCGGATGGGCAGCCACTCCTGGGGTTTCACACAGCCTCCCATCCTTCTCAAAAGCGTTAGTACTCACTTACCCCTTTTTTTCCCCGCACAGTGTTCCATAATTCTCCATCTAGGAGCTAGGTCTCGTGCACTAGCAACTTTTCCAAAACCAATTGGTGTTAGAGAATGCACATACCCTAGTCTTATACAGGGCATTCAATACACACACGTGCGTATAACATTTGACAACGATTGTTGGGCGGCCGCTTGGGCGTATATTGTTGGGATAAATAAACACTACTCCCATATAAAGCAAGGTGAAAATGGTCAAATCTCACCCAGCACTCGGCCCATTAAAATTCTAACATATATAGAGCAGACATTGATGGCATTGTGTGGAATTGGTGTTCTCAGATTTGAAGGGAAGCTGAGAACAAGCGAGGAAGGGGCGGACACTGCCGTATGGTTGGCCCTGCAGCCAAAACAAAAGTTGGTTCCGGGAGCATTCTATTTCGACAGAGCTGAAGCACCTAAACATCTTTTGTTCTCAGGGACCAAGACCGAGTCCCCTTCTGTTATAGACTCCATTGTCGAAAATCTGAAATCCTTTGCAGGTCTTCTTCATTGATGTACGTCTTCTTCAACAACCCTTTGAATTTCAACATCTAACTGCTTTTGCTTCAATACGTACAAGTATAACAATAAAGGAAAGGCTCCCTAAAATGTAAAAACTATAATGTGAAGTAATTTAAAAGCTCCCTAATTTGTGAATTTGTGGTGGCGACAGTGCCGGGGGAAGTAGTGTGGTGGCAGTAGTGCCGGCAGTGGGGGGGGGGGGGGGGGGGGGGGGGGGGGGGGGGGGGGGGGGGGGGGGGGGGGGGGGGGGGGGGAGGCAGTGTAGCGGCAGGGGAATGCAGTGTGCTAACTAAAATCTGTGTAACCTTGGGAAATAAGAAAAAAGGGTAGAATAGGGATATTAAATTGTATGCCACGCTGGATACTTCTACAATGTAAAAAATATCATAACACGGCTAGATAGGTTATTTTTGCTACTTTATAGTGCCATTTAGGGTAATCTCTCCTCATATTTTAGGTATTTGATCGCATTTTACTCCTGTCTAGAGACTTCTTTTTTTGTTATTTTTTTTAAAGTCAAGTTAAGCATATACTCCGTATTATTTTGCGATGAAGGGAGTAACTGTTTCAATTGGCGTATTAGTTTTTAATAATATTTTAACAACGAAAGTTATTTTTAAAAATGATAATTGTCTTCTTTATGAGAACAATAATATGGATTTGGTGACAAACCTACACAAAATGTTAGAGTAATATCAAGGAATATTTTTTTGGGCTTCATGTAAGTATGGTTTGTGATTAGCGTTTCAGTTTTGGAGTAATATACCTCCATCCAACAGTAATGTTTCCATTGTGCGTTACGGTGCTTGACTAAAGTTATTTTAAAATTATTTTTTTTATGAATAATGATATGAAATTAAAAAATAAAGTTACATATTTAAAAATTAGATGAAAAGATTTACTCGGTACATATTTGATTTTGTGAATAATGAACGAGAACATTATTGTTAGACGGAATGAGTATATTAATTGCTTAAACTAATTTCAATAAGTGCATTTAATATGGTTGTCGGTCATTTTCCTTTTAGTATTAACCACCATTTTTTTTTGCCTTCAATTTTTTTTAGTTTTTAAAATTATTTTTAGTTTTAAATTTTTGAAAAATACTCTAATGTTACATTAAATCAAATAAAATGAAATTTTAAGTTTTTTAAATTTATTTTATTTAAAGATTTATATAGAAATAAAAATAACTTACATATTAAAAAATTACATTAAAAATTTTACAAAACAAAAATTGCCTACTAATATCAATAACTCATTTAAGAAGAAACATAAATAAATAAAAAATTATGTAATGTAGTTTTTAATTTGTGAGGGTGACATTTGTTTTTGAACCGAAGGAGTAATTATTTCCGATTATAGAAATTGGGCGGGCGCAATTGTAAGTTGTAACCCTCCCATGCACGTTTTTGCGTTGATTAGAAAAAAAAAATCACACATCTATCGCCCCTTTTTTCTGCCACCACCTTCCTTCCACAAACATTGCCCGTTCAACAATTCCTCCCTTCATCCCATCCCCCCAAAGAAAAAAAACAGAGAAATGAAAATGAATGAATTGCAAATCCCTGAAAGTTGATGTTTTCACGATCGTCATCATCATCATCAGAACAATTATTTCCTCCATAGATTGTGGATTCCATCGATCTCTGTGCGTGTGGATTGGAACTGGATTCGAGGAGATGAGATGAGATGACGACGCTGTTTTCCAAGCTTTTCTCCAGAAGGGTTTCAGATCTCGATTGGAGGTTTCTGCTCCTCCTCCTCCTCCTCCCCCTCTCCCTCCTCGTCTATGCCTCTCTCCCCTCCGTTTCCTCCCCCTCCCTGGTCTCCATCTTCGGCCGCTTCGATTTCCGGCGGGCGGAGGAGGCGCGCGCGAGGGCGGCGGACGGGAACGAATCGAGGATAGCGGTATGCTTGGTGGGCGGGGCCCGCAGGTTCGAGCTCACGGGGCCGTCGATCATCCGGAGGATTCTCCAGGCGTATCCCAGATCTGACCTCTTCCTCCACTGCCCCCTCGATTCCAACTCCTACAAGCTGTCGCTGCTCAGGGCCGCCCCCAGAATCGCCGCCGTCAGAATCTTCGAGCCCACTCACATCAACGAGACCGAGTCACAAGCCAGGGTTCTCACTCCCCAGGACTCTCCCAACGGCATTCAGGTCTGCTCCTCCCTCTTCTTCTCCATTCCTTTTGGGAACTTTTATTACAATTAAAAATTAATAATCACAATCTCTATTTTTTGGATAGTCACATATGACATTCAATTTGACCGGAAACTATGGGAATTTTGACTAAAATATTAATATAGTATCATACGGAGTATGTATTTATTTTTCCAATGTAGGACCAGGTCATTATTCATTAGTCATTATTCTAATAACTAACTGGATATTATTCCTCCCACTAGACATTATTAAGTACTATTTCAAAAATAAAAATTTTAAGTCCTATATTAAGAAATAAATATGTTTTAGTCTTATTTAGTTTAAATTTTTCAATTATTAAATGGTCTCCACATTGTGCTTCTATGAAGGTTCACAAACATGATGTCTTTTTCTGTCTCTTTTGTCTTCAGTTTTGCTCTGTTTTGTTTTGTTTCTAAAAGAGAGAAAACAAGTCAAATCTTGTAAATTGTGAGGTTTCATAAGAGACTTGAGGAGCATTAGTAATAGTATACTCCGTATTATTTTATCTAATTAATACTGTGTATATTACATTATTTTATCTGTTTTTTTTCAATGCAGGGGTTGTTGCAATATTTCAATCTTGTTGAAGGCTGTCTCACCATGATCCGTGCTCACCAAACCAACAACGGCTTCACCTACGACTGGATCGTCCGCACCAGAGTGGACGGCTATTGGTCCGACCGCCTCCGTCCCAAACACTTCATTCCGGGGCGGTACGTGGTCCCGCCAGGCTCGTCGTACGGCGGCTTGAACGACCGGATCGGCATCGGTGACTTCAACACTTCCGTGGTGGCTCTCTCCCGCCTCTCCCTCATCCCCCAGCTCGACGAGGCCGGGTACGAGCAACTTAACTCTGAGAGGGCTTTCAAAGCCCAACTCACGACTCGAGAGGTCCCTTACCTGACCCACCGCCTCCCGTTCTGCGTCGTGACAGACCGCCAGTACCCTTTCCCTCCCGGCCCGATGGGTGTCCCGGTGGCTTCCCTCTCCAGCCCGGGCCCGCTGAGCGGAGCAAAATGCAGGCCGTGCACCCCGGCTTGCACGGGGGAGTGCATCCCCCCGGTGATGAGTCAGCTCAACAAATACTGGAGCTGGACGAATTGGGCGAACAACAGCATCGAGCTGTGCGATGCCCACGGGGAGTGGGAGGAAGAGTGGGAGACCATTTTTGACGAGGTTGCCGGTAAGGAGCTGGCTGCCGCCCGCAAGCGGCTGAAGAGGCTGAGTATCAAGCAATGTTTGAATGATTTCAAAGCCATGAGATTGAAGTCAGCTTCTTGGCAGGCTCCTCCTGCGAGCCACATGTGTCGCCTCGGCTTACAGTCTGCAGCTTAATTAGCCTAGCTAATTGTTTGTTTACAACCCATATTATATTAGGGGAACTTAATATTTGACTTGAATTTTTGGTAAGAAATAGGAAATTACATGAACACAACAACTAATATAATTTTTTTCTTCAGCGAGACATAACACAAACAACCCTAGTAGTCGAACCGAACACCAAAACCCCCGGTCCAATACCTCAAAATTGTCGGTTTTATTGCTGGTTCGAGTTTAGTAACATTGAACGCAGTGTAATTAACAAGTGAGCAAAAAAATTGTGGGTTCGTGTAGCTTGTACGTTTGTGTGTGAGTGCGTACACATTAGAAGTTAATAAGAACAACTCTTTTTCGCAAAAAAAAAAAGAGGATGAACATAGATATATCCACTACGGGGCATCAAATAAACAGCATTTGATTAATTTGTACTAGCATAATTGATAAATTAACATACACGGTTCAAACTAGCTGGGGTATTGATGCATTTAAAAAGGGAATTTGTCTTTCCTTTCATGTTGAGGGCACCTACTGAATGTAAGATTGGCCGGTGATGTCGAGATCACGGTCCCCGGTAGAGGGCGGAGGCTGGTGTTTGGGCGGCGGAGGGGTCTCTTCCGGGCCATCAGCGCTCTGTGTCTGGCTGGCTGGCGTATTGCTCTTTTTCAGTGGTGGGTCCTCCTCGTCATCCTTCCCGTACATTCCTCCGCCGTAGGCCTCTCTGGTTAGAGGTTGCATTGGGGAAATGTGCGGTGGTTGGTGCTCCGGCCGCCGATCTGCATCATCTCCCACCTTTCCCACCGGTTCTTCTTCGCGCCGGTTCGTAGCCATTAATTTATTTTTTCCGGCTCTCTGTCCTTGTCCTTAATGAGGGAATCTGTACTAGAGACCCGCGTTTATATGGAGACCACATGGACACGTGTTCATCTACAAAAACGTGGCAATTGCGGAGCCCGCCACGACACAGTATATCAACGTTACATGTGGCATATTGAGATTGGCCTATTAGAATAGTCTCAACCCGGGATTAGTTTCAAAGTGGACTAACACACAGAAGAAAGACTAATTTCAATGTCATTTTTTCATAAGCTTATCAAAATTATTTATAAGTTGTGTTTAATTTTCTGTAATAATAAATTGTTTTTAAGTTAAAAAGATAGTTTTTTTTATATTTAAGATATTTTTTCGTTATTCTATTTTAATGAGATTATTTACATGGAATTTTACCTAAATAGTACTAAAGGATAGTGACTTTTACAAAATAGTACCACATGTTTTTACTTTCTCCGTCCCACTCTCTTTGTCCACATTCTTTTTGCACAAATACCAAGAAAGTAGGACCGGGTAGAGGAAAAAGACAGAAATACCCTCCCTTTTAATTTCATCAGCTCCTCCTTTTTCTCCACCAATCATCATCTTCATCAGCAAAAATCCCAACCGTTGTTCGTCGCACATCCCCTCCGAAACTTCTGTCCATCTCCTTAAAGATTCATTGGAAGATCAAGATGCCCTTTACAGACTTACAGTCAAACGGACCACCACCGGATATGTGGAGTAAATCTAAACCACTAGAGGAAGATAGATAAATCTATAAATGGGAACTGACTAGATCTAAAAACAGTAGTGAATGATAAATGAGGAAAGGTGTGGTGGGTTAAAGTAAAAAGGAGGGACAAAAATGACTTATGATATTTTAGAATTTACCAAAAATAGTAAGTGGACAAATACAGTGGGACATCCAAAAAAAGTGAACAAATACAATGAGACGGAAGGAGTATTTTCCAATATAGTACCTCTGGTCATTATGCACTAGTCATTGTTCAAGTAAACGTCCACCGCCACTGGATATCGTTCAAACTAAAGGTCCAACATCAACAAACAGTGTTCCCGCCACTAGACATTATTCAAGTGGAAGAGGGTTGCATGCATGACGGTATGTACGAGCAATTAGAGAAAAGAGTATAAGTGACGTTTTATGGTTTTTTTTGATGTTTTAGAGTATTTTTGTCCAAAAAAAACAAGAAACTAATTTGTAGACGGAAGAAGTATTGTTATTCATTCTGACCGGCCCGTAGACCTGAGCATTCACGGCCCTAAAATACATGAGTCACCGTTTATAAAACCCGAGCCCGATCCACACCTTAAAGAGTCAAGTCCAAACACGTGGTCCTCCAAAAAAAAAATGAGTCCAAGCCCGTAAAAATGTTGCGGAGAAACGGGCCGAGTACCTCATCAACAACATCCGGAGTATATGGTCTGTAATTAGATTTGGCACGTGATAGATTTGCGAAAGGTCAAAATGCGCCCCATCAAATCAAGGACCGTTCGTGTTCTTTGACTCCCACACTCCCATTTAGACACCCCCGTCGCGTCCTGCCCATCTGCATTCCTTCAACTCCACCCCTGCTCGCTCGCTCCCATCCATGGCTTCTCCGATCACCGTCGACCCCCGCAGCGGCTTCTGCAAGTCCAACTCCACCTTCTACAGCAAGCGTAGCCCCATTGCTCTCCCAAGTACCGACTCCATCGATGTCACCTCCTTCATTTCCTCCCGGGCCCACCAGGCAAGGTTGCCTTCATCGACGCCGCCACCGGCCGTCAGCTCAGCTACTCCGATGTATGGAGAGCCGTGGAATCGGTGGCTTCGTCCCTCTCTTCCGACATCAGCATCCGGAAGGGTGACGTTGTCCTCGTGCTTTCCCCCAATTCCATATTCTTCCCCGTCGTCTGCCTCGCCGTCATGTCCCTCGGCGCCGTTATAACCACCACTAACCCGCTCAACACCAAGGGGGAGATCGGAAAACAGATCGCCGATTCGAGACCGGTTCTGGCCTTCACCGTCCCTCAACTCCTCCCGAAACTCGCGGATTCGAATCTCCCGATCGTGCTCATCGGGGAGAATTCCGGTTCTGCAACCGGCCTCCGGATCGTGAGTACCCTGGGAGCGATGATGAACAGGCCGCCGGGTCAGACCCGAATCAAAGAGCGGGTCACTCAGGACGACACCGCGACTCTGCTGTACTCCTCCGGCACCACCGGGGCTAGCAAAGGCGTCGTCTCCTCGCACAGAAACCTCATCGCGATGGTCCAGATTGTGGACGGGCGGTTCAAGAGATCGGAGGGCGAATCCGAGACCCAGACCTATATATGCACTGTTCCGATGTTTCACATCTACGGATTGGCCGTCTTCGCCACCGGGCTATTGGCCTCGGGATCGACGATCGTCGTCCTGTCCAAATTCGAGATGGACGAAATGCTATCTTCGATCCACAGATACAGGGCGACGTACCTCCCGCTGGTGCCGCCGATTCTGATGGCGCTGATCAACAACGCGGAGGCGATCAAGAGGAAGTACGATCTGAGCAGCCTGAAGAAGGTGCTCTCCGGCGGCGCGCCATTGAGCAAGGAGGTGATCGAGGGGTTCGTGGAGAAGTACCCGGCGGTGACCATTCTGCAGGGGTACGGATTGACGGAGTCCACCGGGATTGGGGCGTCGACTGACTCGTTGGAGGAGAGCCGGAAGTACGGAACAGCGGGATTGCTGTCGCCGAGCATGGAGGCGAGGATTGTCAACGCCGATGATGGGACGCCTTTGCCCGTCAACCGGACTGGGGAGCTCTGGCTAAAAGGGCCCTGCATTATGAAGGGTATGTCCTTATCATCCACGTACTCTTTCAATATCTTTTCAATTTCTAAGTCATATTTTTCTCTTTAACAGAAAAACTAAAAAAATTGTGATGTCCTCCGTAGTACTCCCTCCGTCCCATAAAGTGTTACCCATTTTGACTAAAGTAGAAATTAAGGGAGGGATAATTTTGTGTTGACTTTCCAAAAATACCCTTGATGTGATGGGTAAAAGTAGGATGTGATGTGTAGATTATTAGAAAAAAAGTATGATGTGATAGGTAGGGTTTGAAAAGTAAGGGGTAAAAGTGGTTTTTTAATAGAAATGGGTAGGAGATTGTGGGACACAATTTTTTTGAAAGGTGTAAATCTTTTTGGGACGGAGGGAGCATTTTGTTTGTGTTTCAATGCAATGAATCAAAATGATATATTTACAGAGTAGTTCTATTTCTATATATTTATATATTATAAAAATATGATTTTTTAAAATTATGTATCAAAACGAAATGAGTATTACAAAATAAACAAATGAATGAACAGGTTACTTAAGTAATGAGGAAGCTACGGCGTCGACACTTGATTCGGAAGGGTGGTTGAGGACTGGGGATTTGTGTTACATTGATGAAGATGGCTTCATATTTGTGGTGGATAGACTCAAAGAGCTCATCAAATACAAAGGCTACCAGGTCTCTTTATTTTTTTACTTTATGATTTTATATATGATAAAATTTAGAATGGAGTATGGACATTTGGATTGGGTAATAAGACACTTGGGTTGAACTACATTAAAAGATTGAATCCAAAATCGATTAGTTAGTTCAACTCAAAGACTTATATTCTCTTCAAGTTCCGATGTAGGATATTTTTTAACAATATATGTATATATACATGTATAAAGTGTATATGATTTTCACTAGCTGGCATTACTCTTGATGATATGGATGTATAGGTTCCTCCTGCGGAGTTGGAAGCTCTACTCCTCACTCACCCAGAAGTTGATGATGCTGCTGTTATACCGTAAGTGGCATGCTTCTATTATTATAATTATTAATTATGTTGTAGTCCCAATATATAATACCCAACCAACTAACAATATATAATACCCAACCAAACAACAATATAATTATGTTTCTTTAGTTTGTGAAACAAACACTAATGATTTGAACTCATGAACTGAAGGCTAATAAAGTAGGTAGGGGTTTTTTTTTTGTATGGTTTGTGGTGCAGGTTTCCGGACAAGGATGTAGGGCAGTTCCCCATGGCATATGTGGTTCGTAGAAGTGGGAGTTGTATCTCCCCAAACCAACTCATGGACTTCATTGCCAAGCAGGTTGCTCCTTACAAACGCATAAGGCGAGTGGAGTTTATAGATTCCATCCCGAAGAACCCTTCAGGCAAGATACTAAGGAAAGATCTCATCACCCTCTCCACCTCCAAATCTTCCAAGCTTTAATAATTTTTAAGCTCTTCAAATTAGTATATCTTCCTCCTCCCGGTGGCGGTTTGATGATTTATCTTATGATTTCTACGAGTTTATATATGTTTCAGATCGAGCGTTTTGTATTTCCCCGGCTCTGTCTCTCTCTCTTTTTTTTTGACAAACAATTTTACAAACAACCTTTTATTATAATAAGGGGGTATTCAAATTTTGGTCTTAATTGTTGCCTCTGTTTAATTTCCAATTCTCAACTGTTCTATTTTTCCGTGCAGTGTAATGCATTTTCCAAGTATCATCTTAAACAAAGATTATATTCCAATGTGTGGTATTAACGAGTAACTCAACTTTGTTGAATTTATAAAGCTGGTTCGTTGAAATGATTTGAACTCTAATATGGAATCAGAAATTGTGATTTGGATTAGATTTACAACGTATTATTTTCATACACTCTGCTTCAGATATAAGAAAGTAGAGATCTTTTAAAATGGAACGTGATTTAAGAAACTTTGATACACGATTATGTTGATTTGAACTCTTTTGGTGTTGATTAAGATTTTAGAGAAGTGTTTATGTTAAACACGTGATCCTATAAGTGTGTGCATTGAAGTGGATTTTAGAAAAATTCTCTACTTATAAGTAGGTATAAATCTGTGTATATTCTCAAAAACGATAAAATCAAAAGATCTCGTTTTGATATCGTTGTGATCCAAAAGCATTTCAGGGTGTTTTTCATCTTAAACTTCTTTATCTCGGTCAAAAATTAAGAATCAATTATCGAGTGCATTGTCAAACATTATCAATAATATGCTATTATGCTTTTAACACAAGTTTTGAATCATCATCTAAATAACACCATCTAACACATGGGAAATACTTCTTTTGTCCCTAAATACCCTTCTCATTTAACTTCCATGAATTTTAAGAAAAATATTGCAAAATACTCCGTATTAAGAAATAGTGGTTGGAATTTAAAGGGAGGAGAGAATTTTTTTAGCCACATAATTCTTTCCTTTCATAGAAAGTAAGATCATTTAGGGGTGTCCAAAAAAAACAAAGGATAATTATTTAAAAACGAGTGAAGTAAAAGTTAATATCCATTAACATTGAATCTTCGTAAAAATGAAAATAATGCGCAAATGGTCACTACCAAAAACTTACAACTTGTTTAGATATGTCAACTGCTTAAGTTTGAATTCCATTAAAAATAATTTTTCGTAAATGATCTAATTGACTGAAATCAAAATTTTAGGGAGTGTACAAAGATTTTAGTTTTGAGAGGAGTATTAAGAGCTTATTCCTTCATTCCTTGTAATATAGTCTCTTTTAAATTTGGCATTTGCTGACGAATTTGAGGGAGCTAAACTATAAGGAACTGCTTCACAATTTAATAAAGAAAAATGCATTAATTCATCATTAAAAGAATTATGAATTTGAAGCCTATCCCCTTCCAATACTCTAATGCATTGTAAATGAACCTTAAATTATTTAGCTTCATAAAAAAAGATGTGAAAAGACACAATTGCACCAAATATAGTAATATACACCACCCAAGCTTTTGAAACATAAGAAGACAATTAAGTTCTCATTGAATACTCATAATAGTATGTATCATGTTCTTTGCATGAAACAAGTAGTAGCCGAAAACATATGAAAAGAAAAGAAAAGTTGAAAAATGCAAAGTTGCAGCCACTTCAAAAAGCCAAATTCCAAATGCAGCTTCTTGTTGGTCTTCCAGATTTCAAGGGTCTGTCGCTAGGGGGGAAACTCAAACAGGATATTAGCAGCATGAAAAACAGCCCAGCACGCCCCCGAAAAAACATATCCTCCTGCAAAAAACTGCCATGCCAAAGCAGAAATTTTTTTAAAAAATGGATTATGCGAAACTAAGGCTGTGAAAGAAAGAGCACCTTACATTTCAACTGTGACAGCCCCCTCCTATTCAAGACTTAAACAGACTGACTCACTCACTAGACCTAAACTGGCTGTGTCATGATCATGCAGATTGGCAGAAATTTGAATGAAAGGCAAGGCCAAGGCCGGATAAATATGGCAAATCTATTCTTGTAACCTTTTTTTTTTCTGTGCAATAAAATCTGACTGGTACAATAACATCTGTACAAATACATGAGCCAAACCAGGCATATAATATTACACAGCGCCTACAAGCTCATCTAAAAAAACGTTAACTGCGCAATCGTTTCCTCGGACTTCCATCATCTGTAAAACCACCCTGTAGATAACATGGAATCAAAGAGTCAAACACTATTGACCAACTAGTACTGGAGTTTAAACTATTTCATGTGAGGCTCAACTTACCTCAGCGTGTTTCTTGGAACTTTCGGCACAAGTGGTACTAGACTCAGATCTGCATTTTGCATGTACAATTGGCCCTAACTGAGACCTATCCATCCCAGCTGTTGACCCACCAGCAGGCGGTGCATTCAAGTAGATAGCCCCCTTGAACATCCATTCTTCATTCTCATCACTATAAAAGTCATCAAAAGGCTCTCCACATAGAGCACAAGCATTTTGGTCATCATCAGCAGGAACAGCAAGTTCTTCATCATCCTTCTTCTCCACAGCATCTTCAACAGGTGGAAATCCAGGAACTGCATCAGTGCCCAGTGCCTCTGCACTACTTAGCCACATACTGAGACTTACATACCACTTGCGAGAAGGTTTGTGCTTCCGGTTTTTAGATATCCTGTTCTTGGTTACATGCCAATCCATATGACTGCTATGAGTGTCTTGGGATTTGAACCGGAGCCCACACGTTGTGCACTGTCTAGGAAGAGCAGAGTAGAGAGCAGTTATTGTTGACTCGTGTCGCTCCTTAAAAACTTCCACATTAAACTCTGTGCCGATAGAGTCCTATATATCAAAATCACACAGGTAAGAATGTGTTTTTTTAATGAACTGAACGGAAACTTGATAATACAAAAAAGAAACACAATACGGCCATACCTGTGTTGTGGCTTGGTTTGTTAATGAAATCAAACCTTGAGCCATCAAGGTGCTTATCAGATTGGAAAAAGCACCACTTTGTGGGGGAGCACTACTTTGGGAGACTTGGCCCGAAGTCTGAAGTGTGGGCATCATTTGAGGTGGTGGAGCAGCACGAATTGGAAATCTAGTTATGGGTGGGAGCAAGGCTGCTCCAGGGAACTGCAATGATGTATTATTTGGGATATTCACCATTTGCACACCTGAAACACCGTGACCTCGATGAGGGTAGCCAAAATGTGGCATGACCATACGCGTTGGGACCACAATCGAACTTGGTGGGCCCTTAGTCAGAGGAAAATCCTGAAAATGCTGAAGTGGTTGTGATAGCCCAATTTGTCCGGATCTTTGAAGATTTAATGGAATTGCACTAGGATGTTGAACAGACAAACGGGGCATCTCAAACTGTGGTTTGGTGTCTATGTTATCCATATGTCTCTCATGCTGAGCATGACCAGGTACTGCACTCATAGTATCAAATTGATCCCTTATCTGCTTTTGAGGAAGGAGCATAGGCATTGGATTTAATGACCGAGAGTTATGCATGCTCATTGAGGTCCATGTACCATTTGAAAGTCCCACATTAACTGCTTGAGCATCCTGGATCGACAAGTTGAAACCAGGATTCGCTAATGAAGAATTGTTGCTTGGAGGCCTCCAAAACTTTCCATCTACATTTGTTAAATTTCCAACTAAAGAAGGCTTAAGCTCACCCACTGAAGTTGAATTTCTAGATTCAGAAGGATGTGTTGTGAGAGCTCTTCCCCCTCCTTCAACCCCCATATGGTGATGAGATGACTGCGGGAAATCTTGTTGGAGAAAACGAGATTCTTGACTATAATTCGGAGCTGGAATTAGTGGAACCTCCTCATACAGCCCAGTGATCTTATCAGTAGCCCCTGGTACAGGCTGTAGTTGAGAAATTAATTGTCAAACAAATATTATTCCAAGACCAGATAAAAATAAAACATATTCAAAAGGAAAACATTAACAGCAGAAAACAAGTCTTAACACCTACTAGGCATTAAATGTACTTGTGAGCATCAGCACCACTTCTTTCTTCTTTCATTTATTTCTTAGTCGTACAAGTGAAAAAATTGGTGACGACAAGTACAGTATCAAACACAACAAAACAAGGTGCTAAAAAATCTAAAAAATGATAACCATTGCAAATATCCTTGCAGGTTAGGATTTGTGATAAAGTTGAAAGACCATGACGATTATTAACTGAGTATGCATAAAGAACAGAAAACCAATGGTGTGTTGGGTAAACAGCAATGATGTCTATATCATTCACAAAGGATTATGGAAAATACCTTAACTAAAGAAGGATGAGCCTGATCTGATAATCTCCTTCTAGACTCATTGATAGCAGATATATCTTGAAGAGAACCAACATGGGGTCTAGTAATATATCTCCCAGGTGGAAGCATAGATGATGAGGCATCATTATGCCTATGAGCATCTCCAAGAGTTGGACTCATGTTTTCCCAATTGAACTCTTCCTCTTCAGTACTTTGCCATGTTCTAACACCTGCCTTTTTGCTAATACCATTTGCATTTGGCTGACCAATCTTATGATGCTGATAATTAAATTCTTTTTCTCTTTCATCAATTCCATATGCATTAACCAGAGCTCTAGGCCCTTGAAGCCCAGCTTCTTTTTTGAAACTACAGGCAGCAGAATTTTCCAGCCTTTGACTGCCATTATCAGGCATAAGATTTTTGTGCCATTCAATTGTCTCATTATCTCCAGCCAGTACTCCATTGACCCCACAATCTATCCTACCATGAGATGGCGGGGATCTTTCAGCAAATGCTCGAGAATTTTCTGCATCGAAATCATCAGCTGGCGGTGACAATGATCTTGCACGGCCAACACCATAAGGAGGAGAAGAGGGCCTTGCAGATGGAAGCAATTTTAATGCATCTATGTCAGAAGATACATGTCCAGCACGACCAGCTGAGCTCAACTTTTCAGCTCCTACCTGCGAAGAAGTAGCTTTACCATTATTAAAGGGTTCAGTATTCAATGTGATGTGTGGTCCCCCCAACCCCAACTATATGAAATTCCCATGTTTAGCTAACGTTGCAATCCTACTTCACACCATGTGTCTCACTAAGATACGACGCATGGGTTACTTCATGTGAATAACCATCATAAAACATTAATAGTTCAATGTTATACCAATTTCCGTCTTGCTTCCAAATATTTTGGATTTACATGTATTCCATGACCTGGTCGAGGGGATTCAGAAGCTCTCATGTTCGTCAATCCAGAAGATTGATGGCTTGTGGATGGGGAAAACTGGAGGCAGGCTTCAATCTTGTTGAGGACAGATGATGGGAAAACTGTGGACCACGTACCAAAAAGGTGGCGCAATGCAGGAAACATGTTTGGGTGGACTTGTCTGTATGCTTCGCAAAAAACCTAAAGACACAAAAATGCAATGACATATGATGCTAAACAAATACCGTCGTGATATTAAAGAGTGCTGCTATATATAAAATAGAGCTGTCAATGCACACTATTTAAATATTCACCTCAGGCAGACGGGCAGCAAAGTGCCTTATGTATTCCCTCCCTATATTCTTTACAATACTATCAAGAAGGTAAAGAGATGGCAATTTCTGATCAACTGGGGCCTGAAGACAAAATTGAGAATGAATACCACTATGAAGCCCACATAATAAGCTATTAAGGGGTCANTTGTCTGTATGCTTCGCAAAAAACCTAAAGACACAAAAATGCAATGACATATGATGCTAAACAAATACCGTCGTGATATTAAAGAGTGCTGCTATATATAAAATAGAGCTGTCAATGCACACTATTTAAATATTCACCTCAGGCAGACGGGCAGCAAAGTGCCTTATGTATTCCCTCCCTATATTCTTTACAATACTATCAAGAAGGTAAAGAGATGGCAATTTCTGATCAACTGGGGCCTGAAGACAAAATTGAGAATGAATACCACTATGAAGCCCACATAATAAGCTATTAAGGGGTCAGAGAAGCCACAAAAGAATCAGACTTTTCAGCAAAGATATTTTTGATGCAAACTTAGCAAAACTGTAACCAATAAACAGCAATCCAGAATACATAAAAACTATGGGCGTGGTTGATTATTTGCCAGTTAAAAGACTGAAGAAATATTTTATAAAAAAGTCTATTATGAAACATCCGATCTCATGTTTGTTTTAGAGATGAGACAGTCTGAGTATTTGCTGTGATGTTGAATAAGCATAAGTTGAGATACTGAGAGCAATTGCTGAGATGTTGAAGAATCATGGAATGCACCCCTTCTCTTTCTCTCTTTACGTTTTCCTTCTTTTTTACTCACTGGCGATCAAGGTGAAAATTACTTGCCTCTTGAATCGTATTATTTGAAGAGTGTGTTGATTATATTTCAGTCAGACATTGTTATTAGACAAATACATGCCTTAATGTTTAATTACGAGCGACACAATTATCTGATGTTGACATCTCCTTAAGATTTAAAACCAACCAAAAAGACCTAGAAATCCAGAGAAGAGAGAGTGAGGACTGCCATCTTGAAACTTGATGAGCTTATATAAAGATTTGAGCTTTTTTGTTCATGTTCAATTAAGATGGCTTAATGAAGATTCAGTCATTTGCAATTAGAGAGTTTTTATGTTTCCCAAATAACCAAAACAAACCAATGATAAGAGACCAGAAGATCGAATTGCAAGTTTCAGCACCCTTAGACATTGATACAATTCAAAAACTGGAAGAAGAAAGAAACAAAAAGAGAAAAATCCACTTCTATGGCCTAAAATTACATGGCAAATACAGACCTCCAGAATACGAGCACAAATTGCATCCGTAATTCCCTCGCCGTGTTCTGTGTGCTCCCCGGCAATTATGGTGAGATCAGTGATGATAGGCTTCGAATTGAAAGTCAGGTCCGATAAAACAATATCGTAAAGCCGCACAACTTCATCGATAGTCGGAGGGGAAACGGCACCATCTTCCGAAGAAACCCTAATCTCCTCATCTCGCTCCTTCAACATGGCCCTAAAGCGCTCGAGTATCGATGGCGGCGCGGGCTTGGAAATTCCGGCGGATGAGTCGTTTGGCATTTGCTTAGAGTTGGCGAAGTTGCATCCAATTCCCGCTCTAGGGTTCGGCAGTCTTGGTTCGTTCATTGAACCAATTATTATCAACCAAAAAATCTAGATAGAAAAAAATTGGAAAATAAAAGATACTTGGGAAAGTTCAGAGTATCAAGTGAGGGAGGGATTAGGGTATGGAAACACCGTGCACGGCGCCGGCGGTGAAACGATCTACAGAGGGGGGTTTAGGAGGCCCTGGAATCACCGACGGGAGCGTATGGGCAGAGGTATGCGTTAACGTGTGATCCGGGAGGCTCCGCCGCTCCGGCTCAGATACTCTGGTGGGTCTGTCTACGGAGTAAATTTAAGGCTTTTTTGCGCGCTAATATGGACTACTCTTCTAGGTTGATGCTTCGAAATTTTAAGGCCCGTTTAATAATAATATTTCCTCCACTTTATTAATTAAGATTTGATTCTCTAATACTCCGTATATCAAAATAAAAAATGATAACCGTGCAATATGTCAACCGTGCATAGGACACTCTGATAGAAAAGTGATGATAGTGTAATATGTTAGCGTGATCAATCAACCATCGGCGATTTACAACGATACTCTTGTGGCCGGTGGTGACGAATAACAGTGTGTTGGTCATAGTGTGGCAGTTATAATGTGACAATGTAGTGCGTGTGACAGTGTAAATTTCTATTTTGGTCTTAAAAGATACGGAGTATATGACTTCTACTTTGGTATTTGCATATTTGTTTACTCCTATCTAAGGTGGTCTCTCAATCTTTAATATATAAAATGGAGACTCCAAATTCTAAAAACTTGGTAGATGGCATTGTTTACATGGTACCTATTTAGAAAATAAAAAGAATTATTTTTAAAAATCCTCTTTTTCATCATTGCTCTTCTTCCTATAATAGAATAAAAAAGAATTGAATGCTTACTTTCTTTATTAATTCTTCCATCTTCAATTATTTTTTTCCTTTTAAATAATCTTAAAAATTATACACGAATATGTAGTGGTGTTCAGGTCAAACCTGGACCGGACCGAAACTGAATAAGAGATATTTTGTGAACTGAAGACTAGACCGAATAAGGTAAGGACCGGTCCGGTCCCGGACCGGTAAATCCCAGACAGAATAAATGAGATTTTTTATTTTTTTAAATTTGATTTTATTTATTTAATTTAAACTATTCAATTGCATAAAAGTATTACTACAATTAGTTTTTAATGTGTAACATACACTATACATTGTCAAACATTGTTATTTTTTAAATTTAAAAAAAAAACTTTAAAATAAAATATATATCCTCCATCCGTATTACATAAAATTTGTTTGTAATTTTTATTTTAAATAGAGAATATTCTTCTTCTTACTGAGTTTTTACTTTTTTTGTAATATTTTTTTTGTATTTTCGGTTTATTTTGGAAAACGGATACATTTTTTACTATTTTTATTCATGAGATTGTTTACAATGTTTATTTTTATTGATTAGAGTTTTAATGTTGATAGAATACAAGCTTAAGTTATAGTATTGGTACATAAATTTGAAATGCATTAGATCGCTAATATAAAGGTAATGTTTACTTTTTTTCACGCTTTTCATATTACAAATATTTAAATATCATTAGAATTGCTATCTTATATTAAATTGGAATATATTAAAAAGATTATATTAAATAATAAAATCAAAACATTTGAAAACCTTTTAGTATTAAAGTTAAAGTTTATTTTAAGTATAAGAAAAAAACTTAAAAAACAATATTATAAAACTATATAGAAGTAACAATTAAAAAAAATAAAATGTAATTGGTATGGATCAAAACCCGGTAGACCGGATCGGATCAAACCGGAACCCAAATAAGGAAAAAGTGAGGACCAAAGATCGGATTGAATAAGGACCGGTCTAGACCAACCCGGTTTGGTTTTGGTGGGGTTTCAGGTCAATCTAGGTCCAGACCGAATAATGTACACCCTACGTGTATGAATACTTGTTAGTAAAATAAAAGAGTCGTGTTTGTATATGTTCAATTATACTCCCTCATAACATCTAACAAAACTATGTTATTTTATTAAATTATCAATGTAGGTATGTTCTAAAAAAGTGTTTCTAAAAATTTAAAGTACCAAGTTTTAATTATTTTTTCTTTTGATCTATTTGAGCTAAGAAAAAGATTTTTATTGAATACTCCCTCCATTCACAAATTGACAGAAACTATTTTTGATTCATTTTATATGATAATTAGTATGAAATTAAAACTAAAAATATATGAACAAAAATATATATTTAAAAACTAGATTAAACCATTTATAAAATTATAGATGTGACATGACTATATATTTTTACTGTATTATAGGCAACAAAAATAGGCAAACAAAATGTACAAAGATTGACCTTGTAAATGGGAGAGTATTTTTTGTGATTATGTGCATGTCAACCAACAAATTTGTTTAAAACTACTCACATTTTTTTAACATGTCCTAGTCTAACATGTCACAAATTAGAAGAGGCACACATAAGAAACACAAGTTTTATTAACTTTCTAAACAATAGCAAGTACGTTAGCTTAAAAAGGGCATTCAAAATGCATCATTTGCTTATAGATATAACCTTCTGGCTCAAGATCAACTTATTAGTTTCCAACACCATGCGTAAGTCATGTTTGTTCATAAGTGAGCTCCTTTCCGAATGTCATCTTGAGCTTAACATTGCTCTCACCTTGAACATCGGATCGAGCAAAGTTGCCCATCCACACCTTTGTTGCTAGAAGTCTCCATGAAGTCCAAATGTATGGCCCGATCAGAACAAATGTGATGAGTGGCTCGTGGGTAAACCCACTACTCTTTCGGGTAATACCCGACCAAGTTGATCTTTGTCATGACTACACAGAGGTCCATAGTATCTAGCTTAGAGCAGAAGGCTTCTTCCTTCTTCTGCCTTTTCTTCTAAGGCTTCTTGTGACACTTTGAAGAACGGTGGCTGCGATGCCACAATTGTAGCATATTCCCATGAATTTAGTCTTGCGACATTTCCTTTATGACCAAGTTTCTTCTTGTATTATGTCCTATCCTTGTACGGTTTGGGCCCTTTGGAAGAACCCTCCCTAGGTGGATGCTCCACCACATTGGTTTTATCAGCAATTCCTTTATTCTCGCGAGCCAAACCCTCTTCTCAGATCTGGAGACGAACAAGTAATTGCTCCAAATCCTCTAATGTCATCTCTTTCCATTTGAGCTTGAGATAGCTATAGAACTCATCCCAAGTTAGTGGGAGTACATGAATGATCGCCGTCACTTAGAATGCTTCACTTACTTACATTCTCTCCTTAGTACACTCATTATTTCTAAGGATCAGTTCTTCAGCTTGGCAACGAGTTTGAAATCCACCATCTTAAAATCTAGAACTTTACAGACAATTTTATTTCACAATGGCGTCTTCGGTCTAGTACTTGTTGGACGGTGTAGTCCATAACTCCTTTGCGAACGAAACCCGGCCTGTAGTAAACTGCATACAAGGCATCACTAAGACTATTCAGGATTATATTAAGATAGAGACAATTATTCACTTTCCATGCCTCTCTAGCCTGAATTGTCGGCTCGTTCGCGTTCTCTCCCACAACAAAGCGGTCCTTACTCAAATACCTCACAAAGTTGAGTGTGGTCAGCCTTTAACATCCTCTGCTGTCCCATCTTGAAGTCAATGCTCGTGAACTTTGTCAGTTCCACAGAGGTCGCAAACATTGTGTGTCAGTAGCATGACCAAAAAATGGGTCTAGGCCAGTAAGGAATGTGCTAGGAACTGAGGGGTGGGAGTGTGGGATAGTGGGTTGGATGATAGGTATTCATGGCTAGTCATGTCATTTTATCCATCACCTTGGTTTTAGTCCCAAAACACAAGTGGACAAAGGTGCAGGACAAAAGAAGTATTTATTAAAATACACTTAAATAATACTTTCTCCGTCCAAGATTAAAGTTCTCACTTTGACTTGGCACAAAGTTTAATAAAATATGAAATTTACTTTGACTTTCCTAAAATATCATTCGTCCCTCATCCCTTCTCTTCTTTTCTTGTCCACTCATTTAATTTGCTTCTATCTGTGCGATGGGATGCCCCTCACCCATCAATGCCGAACCTCCTACCTCCTCTGCCATTATCACCGACGGCCAACCGCCGCCTCGTCACCTATGCCTGCTCCTTCAATTTTAAAAAAACAAAGAAGAAGGAAGAAACTTCGGCTCCTTCCCTCCGAGCCAACACGCCATCATCAATCAGCGCCTGTACTCCGCCACCACCGCCGATTTCTTTGTTGACGCTGACCTCCGATCCGAATTGAAATTCTGAGATCTGACGGAGATGGACAAGAAAGAAGAAAAGAAACAAGAAGAGTTGAAAATGGATTGGGCGTTGGTCCATGGGAATTGGAGAAGAAGAAGAGATCGGACCACCCTTTTACCTCCGACCACCGCCACCGCCTCGCTGCCCCACCTTTACTCTGACTGCTGCTTCGCGCGCTGCTTTCAAATTTACAAGAAAAAAATGATCAGAAGAGCAAAGGAGAAGAAAGAAGTAAAACAAGAAGAATAAGAGAGAAGAAGAAGATGAAGAGTACCCTATAAGAAAAGAGACAAGAAGAAGAGAGAAAAGAGAATAAAAGAAAAAGTGACGGTTGGAAAGGAAATGGATGGGGAAGGAAAAAGGAAAAGAAAGGATAAGGAGTGGGTGGTGAGGGTAATTTAGACTTTTTAGTATAAAAAACTTTCCAAAAATAGAAATGGGAACATTATTTTTAGACGAACAGTAAGGAAAAGTGAGAACTTTATTTATGGACGGAGAGAGTATTTCATTTGTCTCAATTTAAGTTGCATATTTATTATTTACATTATCAAACTTTAACCACTTTACTTACTTATTTTCATTACTCATTTGATAAAATAATATAGTTACATCATCTATTATTTTGTAGAACTTTTGATGTAGTTTTTAGATATATAACTTTTGTTTTTAATTCTACCCTAATTTTCATACAAATTCATTTGAAAGAAATTCAAACAAACATCCTAAACAATAACATACAACTTAAAATATGATTGAGGGAGTAATTTTTTAAAGTTACTTTCCTATTTTTCTTAACTTATTTTTAATTTTTTTAATTAATTTTTTTATATTTCTTTTTAATTTTTTTTCAAATTCTATGAGTTGATTCCAAGAAACAACTCTTATACTATGTTTGATTTAAGGAATTTGGAAGGAAAAGAAAAACAATAATTTTCTCTCATTTTTCTCACCAAAATGAGAGGAATAATTCCGTTCTTAGTACATTTTTCCTTCTAATTTTCTTTTACTTCCACTTTTCCTTTCTAACCAAACACGAAAATATATTTTTCACTTAATTTTCTTTCTTTTTCTTATCAAATTCCTTGAACCATAGTATTAGGATAGTAGCATTACTTAGAATAAAAGAGGAAAGGAGTCATTTCATCATTATACTCCATGGAGTCCATGCATGCTTTGTTGTGTGGAATTTCAAAATGATCCGTTATTTGTAACATATCCATACATTTGTTTTTGAAATGAATAGATAAAACAAAGAAAAAATATGAATATAAATTACATTATACAAAATAATAGAATACAACTAAATATTATTTCGTACCTTCTATAATTTGAATCGTCTATTTGACTTACGATGTTTGAGTCAAGGTCAATCTAAGAGTGTGCCAAAGTGTGCTACTGCATGACCCATTCCATTTTTTCGAGACCCAAGATTTTTAATTTTTAATATATATGTTGTATATTTTTTTAATAAAAATTTTAAAACTTATTTTTTCTAAGTTAGGTATTACGTACTCCGTACAATGCATAATTATAATATTATAATTATTTATGTGTATTATTATACTATTAATTGTTGTTTTGATAGAAAATAGTTTATACGAAATACTACATAGTTTAATTTGTTAGGGCCAATGCCACCAAATACTTGATGTCGGCCCTTGTTTGGTTTAAGTTATTTTCAATATAATTTATTTAAGTATTGGAGTAAAAATTAAAAAATAAAATTTACATCCTAAAAAACTATATCAAGATCTCTAAAAAACAAGAGATGATGACATGATTGTATTATTTAATCAAACAAGTAACAAAAATTAGAAAAAAGTGAATAAATTATGATCGTGAGATTGATAAGAATCATAAATAAACAACTTAATTTGGAAGTGACAAATTACTACACTACAAAGTTAAAAAATAAAGTGTGAGGCCATTGTACACGCGGTAAGCTAAGGTAGGCGACGCATCAATAATTATATATCCTCCATTCCCTCGACCCAATTGTCTGCTAGCTGGAAATGAATCCGTTATTGTTTTCTCCTGTAATTGCGCCATGTTGGATCACACCTTAACGCGTGCCAAGCTGTTTTCCTTCTTTCTTTAGTGTTTGTATATCGTGTACGTCATTATTTAATTAATGTACTCCATTAAAAAATTAAACAATAAAGAGTTTTAGAAAAATCAAAATAATAAAAAAAGAATAAAAAGAATTAACAAAAAGAGTTAGTAAAAATAATAAATAATGCGGTTGTTAACTAAAATAAGAATAAGAGTAAAAAAAAGAGATATAAAAAGAACTATACAGTTCAAATATAAACAATTAAATAAATTAAATATATCAAAGTTCAAATTTTGATACATTATTTTTTAATTGTTTAACAACCTTTTTCAGTTCTACTCAAATTAGAATTATCGAAAATAAAAGTATTATGCTTGGATTTCCTTTTAGCATTATATGAGTTACTAGGAATAACAATGGGTTGGTTTCGGTTTGTGTTTTGATATATATATTCAAACCCACCCAACGTGGTTTGATTTTGAGTTTAATTTAAACAAGTCGAAGATCAATCACTTATCACTCATTGAAGCATAACTATGCATAAATTTGTATTGTAATACCTAATACCTTTCTTGATATCTGATTTAGTACAGAATCATAATTTGACTTAAGTATGATTTAAGATTATCAACATTTTGCACTAACAACAACTTTATGATTTTTCACGTCATTTCATACTTCTTTTTAATACTGAAGAATTATTATTCATGCATTGGGTCGGCCCGGGTTGTAAATCTCAAGATCTGAACACGACCCGACATAGTTCGAGTTCAGATTTTATAGCGAGTCATGTTCGAATATTTATTTCTCGGGAGATCTAACTGGATTATATTATTGTTGAAGGATTATATGCTATATGATTCGGTGGGTGGGTTAATATGGGATTTGGATTGAATTGACATCTCTATCAATCAAATTGTATTAATGTAAACTTAAAGTTTGATCTACAAGTGAAATGTGAATCTTCTCACATATTTTTTACAATTAGATGACTAATTTTATTTTACAAAACCAATACATTTAACTGTTTCAATCGAAGGCTTCTATCACTCACTTACATTCTCATCACGCACCTAATCGGGAAATTTTCATTTAATCAATGCACAAAAAGTACACTTTTTTTATATTTTATATTATAGGTTTGACTACCTATAGCATAGTACGAAGTAAAAAACAAAAAGCATGCCAAGCCCAAGCAGAAAGCATGAGAATTAAAGATAAGTGTCGGTGGGGCATTTCAAGATATTGAGGGTGTAATTGTGTAAATACAAAGTATTTTGTTGGTTCCCACATGCTTGATACTCCTAATATATACGGAGTAGAAATTAAAGATGTACTTCATTTAATTAGAATATATTGTCATAGGACCCAAAAATGAGAGCGAGGATGTGTTTTGGAGTGTTCCCAAGAATGATATTTTCTTGTCAAGTTTTCACAAATTTGGTTTGTACTCCCTCCGTCACAATTTATTTGCAACACTTTGAACTACGTGCAAAATATAATCTCTTTTAAAATTATTTTAATTTCAAATTAGTAGAGTAATGAAAAGTAAAAATTACACCATTCAAAAGTATATGAAAAGTTCTACAAAACAAGATGCGACAAGAATATTTTATTTTATTAAATGGTCAACCAAAACGAGTAAACAAACAAAAGTTATCGAGAAGCCAGAATAGTAACCGTGACATTCTTTCTGGGACGAAGGGAGTATATCTTCTAAAAAATTTCATACAAATGAGGTTAGGTAACAAAGTATATACTGTTACCTCCGTTTTATAAAAGTTTTCAAAAATAAAAAAAATGCACCCCAAAAATATATACTTTTGATATTATTTTTTGATTTTTCCTTTATAATAAATTAGGATATGATGTGTATGCATGATAGATGAGTCATAATTATAAAATAGAAAATCTTTAATTTGTAAATCTTTTCACAAATTTTATGTTTTAATTTTTTTTCCTAAAAAATGTTTTAAAAAATAAAAAATGCAGTTGTGAGTACTAAACATTTGTTTATTTCGCTCATCTTTAAGTGCACCAAATTAGGGGTGGGTTCGGTTTTGGCGGTTCGGTTTTTACCCAAAACCAAAGACAAAACGGAAGGTAAGTTGGCGGTTTGGTTCGATTCGGTTTTGCATAAAAAATATCTGAACTGTTGGTTATTCGGTTCGGTTTTATGCGGTTTTTATTTTGGTTTTTTTCGGTTTTTTCGGTTTATAAAAGTAAATATTTATAAGCATTAAAAATAGTATAAATACTAACTCGACGAAGCAATAACAATATGTAAGTTTGGATTTGGTTATTTTGCTTGATTTTTACACAGAAAAAAGCCGAACGGAAGGTTAGTGTTGTCATCGGTTCAATTTTACATATAAAATATGTGTCAAGTGCCTTAAAAACATCTAGAAGATTCCAAATAATCCTAAAGATATCATATGTAAAATCAATTGCAGAGAATTTGTGTTTTTTTGAAATAATACCTTCATTTTCATTATAAAATTGTTAGCATATATATTTTGTACATATTTCCATATACGGGCCAAGCCCAATTGTACCTTTAGCGTAGCCCTAGTCTCGAGACATCTTGTATTTATACGTGGACATATTCTCAATGAAAGGCATCAAAGTGTTTCCTAAATTTTTACATGGTATCAGCCTAAATTTCTACATGGTATCAGAGCCTATTTTCCGGGACTCCAAAAACCCTAGGCTCGTCCTTCTTCTTCACAGCGGCATCACTGCAGTTTAGGTCGCCTCACGTCGACCATCGTCTGTCTTCCGCTCAACGGCGTCGCCGCCGTTTAGGTCGCCTCACGTCGATCAATACACATCGTCTCACGCCGGTGTTCTTTTTCTGGACTGCCTCGCACGCTGCCTTGCTTCGCATCGGCAGTACTTCGTCCTCTTTGTTTTGTTCGCTGCACGGTTAGGGTTCTGTCTAGCATGTCTTCCGAGGCTACCAAAAAGGTTCGTCTAATCCATGATCCTACATCTTTATACTACATTCACCCATCTGAAAGTGTCGGGAACTCCCTGACGAAGCATCTTCTCAAGGGAGACAACTATGACGTTTGGGAGAAAACGATTGTCAATGCCTTGGAAGGGCGCAGCCGTGCTGGCTTTTTGACCCCAACTGGTTTTCCCAAGCCGGCCGATGAACAAGAACTTGCGGCATGGAAAGCTAATAATTCAATCATTTGTTCTTGGATATGCAATAGTGTTGACGAACATATCCAACCGTCCATAATCTCACACAAAGTTGCACATGAACTGTGGACAGATTTGAAGACTCAGTATGGAGGATCGAACGGCCCTCGTATCCATCAATTGAAGTCCGAGCTGCAATCCCTCCGGCAAAAAGGTCAGACAGTTGTGGTTTATTATAACCAATTCGTGACCTTGTGGAATTTACTTTATGGGTCGGCTGACCCAACATGTGGGTGCCGTTGCGAAGCCGCCGCTCTTCTCCGGGAACGGCATGAACAGGAGAAATCACACCATTTTTTGCTCGGCCTTGATGACGAGCAGTTTGGACACATCCGCTCACAACTCATTGCTATAGAACCTGTCCCTGATATTCATCGGGTTTATGCACTGATTTCACAAGAGGAACGTCATAAAAGTATTATTCGGAGCCGTGACGACCGTACAGACGCCGTAGCCTTCGCTGTACAGCGTCCTACCACAGCAGCCGGACGTGGGGATCCTCCTCACTACACTTGCACGCACTGTGGTAAGGAAGGACATTCTATTGATCGGTGCTACCAACTACACGGTTACCCTCCGGGTAAAGGACGCGGTGGCAGCCGTGCTACTGGCCGAGGAGGACGGGGGAGTGGCCGTGGATCTTCCAGCGGTAGCAGCGCCTCTGGTGGCAGGGGTTCTGACACGGTGACAGGGGGAGCAAACGCTGCTGCCTCGAGCTCTAGCCAACTCAGTCTCACGCCTGAGCAAATGACCCGTTTGATGTCCATGCTTGATGCTTCTGATAAAAATGCAGGTACTGGCGGGGACACTTCCTCTCGTGAATGGCTCTTGGATAGCGGTGCTTCACATCATATGACTGGTACTCTTTCATACTTGAGTGACATTGTTCCTATTACCCCATGTGTCATCACGTTGCCTAACGGAATGCATACTACGGCTACTCGGAGTGGGCGTGTACGCCTCTCCCCGGAAGTGATCCTCCAGGACGTCCTTCTTGTCCCCCAACTTCAGTGCAATCTTATCTCTATTGGATGTCTCATTCGGGATAACTCATGTTTAGTTATTTTTAACAAATATTGTTGTGTTATACAGGATTGTGCAACGAAGACGGAGATTGGACGGGGTAAAGCGCACAACGGTGTATTCCTGTTCCGGTCGTCAAGTTTAGCGTTTGCTAGTCAAGTGGACCCCATTCTTCTCCACAAACGCTTGGGCCATCCTTCTCCACAAGTTTTGTCTTCTTTTAACTTTGTTCCCAGTAGTTCCAAACTCAAATTGCTACAATCATGTGAAATTTGTTTTCAGTCAAAACAAACTTGTAGTAGTTTTCCTAGCAGTTCTCATAAAGCCGCTGCTATTTTTGATTTAATTCACTGTGATTTGTGGGGACCTTACACCCCTTGTTTGGCTACTGGTGCTCATTATTTTCTTACTATTGTGGATGATCATTCTCGTGCTGTTTGGGCTTATCTGCTTATTGATAAAACTGAGGTCACTAGTTGTTTGAAACATTTCTTTGCTATGATACAAACCCAGTTTCATAAAACCATAAAGGTAGTTCGTTCAGATAATGGTACTGAATTTGTAAATCGGCCTCTTCGTGCCTATTATCTATTTTTGGGGGTTCTTATTCAAACATCTTGCGTTGGGACTCCCCAACAAAATGGTCGGGTAGAACGTAAACACTGTCATATTCTCAATGTGGCTCGAGCCCTAATGTTTCAAGCTAGTTTACCTATTGAATTTTGGGGGAAATGCGTTCGTACTGCTGTTTATCTCATTAATCGTACACCAAACAAAATCCTTGGCGGCAAGTCTCCTTACGAGATTCTCAATCGCAAAGCGCCAGATCTCAGTCATTTACGGGTCTTTGGCTGCCTATGCTTTGTACGCCTACCGACCTCGAACAAATTTTTCCCCCGTAGCACCAAATGTATGTTTGTTGGATACTCCACTGGTACTAAGGGTTGGCGTGTTTACGATCTTGAAAATCACCGTTTCTTTCACACCCGTGATATTTCGTTTGACGAAAATCACTTTCCGCTTACCACACGCCCAACCGAAACCGCAACCCCCAATCTTGTGCCCGACTTCACCGATACTCCCAGCCCGATTATTCCCGACACAGTTGCCACCAATCCCGCCGATCCCACCAGCACGACAACCCAGCTGGTTGTGCCGACCCCTCAAACTGCCCAGCCAGCTACACTTGCTGGTTCGGATTCCCAGGCAGCGGGTACCACGGCGGGATCCCCTCCAGATACAGTTGTCGTTCCTTCCCTTCGTCCTCAACGGCAGCGTCGTCCGCCTTCTCACCTTAGTGACTACATCGTCAACTCCGTTCAATCTAATGCATCGTTGTCTGCTTCTTCTTCCCGGTCTTCGGCTTCAGGTACACATTATCCTATTCACAATTTTGTTTGTTATCATAACTTACGTGACAGGTACCGTGGCTTCTTGGGAGCAATCAGTCCTCATTTTGTCCCTAAAAATTATGCCGAAGCTGCCCCTCATCCGAATTGGCGTGAGGCCATGCGCAAGGAACTTCAGGCTTTGGAAAATAATGGTACATGGGAGGTTACTGATCTTCCTCCTGACCGAACGGCTCTTGGGTGTCAATGGGTGTTCAAAACCAAATTCAACTCCGATGGGACTAAGGAGCGTGATAAGGCCAGATTAGTCGTTCTTGGGAATCATCAAACATTGGGAGTTGACTACACAGATACTTTTGCTCCCGTTGCAAAAATGGGTTCAGTTCGGGTTCTTTTAGCTGTTGCTGCGGCCAAAGGGTGGCGGGTCCACCAACTTGATGTCAACAATGCTTTTCTTCATGGTGATTTAGTGGAAGAAGTTTACATGCGTTTACCGCCTGGTTCTGCACATCTCTATCCCGGCAAGGTATGTCGTTTGCGTAAATCTCTTTATGGGCTACGTCAATCACCCCGAAATTGGTTTGCCAAGTTGACCTGTGCTCTTCGTCGTTTTGGCTTCTGACAAGCACATGCCGACCACACTTTATTTGTACGCCGATGTGGCCCTCGTATTATGGTTGTTCTGGTGTATGTTGATGATATTTTGGTCGCTGGTAATGATCCCCACCTTTGTGCTTCTTTCAAAACATACCTACATCAGTGCTTTCATCTGAAGGACTTGGGACCATTATCTTATTTCTTGGGCATTGAGTGCGCTCGATCTGCAGAGGGGATAGTATTATGTCAGCGCAAATATGCCTTGGATATTCTGCACGAAGCTGGTTTGGTTGATTGTAAACCAGCGGACACTCCCATTGTGCCGAACCATGCCCTAGCACGGTCTACCAGCGCCGAACTTCGGAATCCGGCTCAGTATCGTCACCTCGTCGGACGTTTGATTTATCTTACTATCACACGGCCAGATCTCTCTTACTCCGTCCATGTTCTGTCCCAGTTCATGCATGCCCCTCGGCTCGCCCACATGGATGCCGCACGCCGTGTGCTTCGCTATTTAAAGGGACATCCTGGTCAAGGTATTTTGCTTCGCAGTGACAGTTCTCTTCAGCTTACGGCATATTGTGATTCAGATTGGGCTTCTTGTCCCCTTACCCGTCGCTTTGTCAGTGGTTACTTTATCCTTCTTGGTACTTCCCCTGTCTCGTGGAAGACAAAGAAGCAAACCACAGTTTCCCGCTCGTCTGCAGAGGCCGAATACCGAGCCATGGCCAACGCATGTGCAGAAGTGCGTTGGATTCGAGGAATTCTTGGGGCACTTGGAGTGACGCCTCCCACCGTACCCCGTCTGTTCTGCGACAACAAGTCTGCGCTATTCATTGCTGCAAATCCCGTTTTTCATGAACGCATGAAGCATATTGATATTGATTGTCATATTGTTCGAGAGTGTATTCAGCGTCGAGAGATTTCCACGGCCTACGTTCCGACACGCCTGCAACTCGCCGATCTGTTTAACAAAGGCCTGAATCGACCACTGTTCTCTTTTCTTCTGTCCAAGTTGGGCATTCGTGATCTCCATGCTCCAACTTGAGAGGGAGTGTTAGCATATATATTTTGTACATATTTCCATATACGGGCCAAGCCCAATTGTACCTTTAGCGTAGCCCTAGTCTCGAGACATCTTGTATTTATACGTGGACATATTCTCAATGAAAGGCATCAAAGTTTTTCCTAAATTTCTACAAAAATCATAGTTTTTTATGTAAATATGTTAACTACTCATATTAATTTTTAATGTTATATAATTCTATATTAGGATTAGTTATTGGTGTTTATATTCTTAGATTTTTTAAAGTTTATAATATGGTTAAAATGTTTAATTGATAGTTAAGAAAAAACTTTAATCGACTAGGCATTTATTTGCATTTTTGTTTATATGATTTTTATACATATCACATACACTCATATAAATAAAATGAAACATATAAATAAGTTTGGTTTATTCGGTTCGGTTTTTCAATGTAAAACCAAAAAGGAACCAAACAATAATGGTTCGGTTCGGTTTTTTTACATTCGGTTTTGGTTTTTTCGATTCGATTTTTTTTCTAGCTCGTTTCGATCGATTTTGGTTCAGTTTTCGATTTTCGGTTTTCCCAACCCAGCCCTACACCAAATATACCATGCATCTTAGATGCACCAAATAATATGATAATGTTTTCCTTAAAATGAAATGAAAAATAAATTTTATAAAGTATTAAAATAATTGAGAAGATATGTAGTAATACGGCGGCCTACATGAGTAATGTCGCCATACACGGCAAGTTATTTTTAGTTTCAGTTGTGCTACTTGTACAACACAATTGTACACCACATTGTACACTATTGGTTGCACTCGCAAAGCACTGATATCCACTTGAATAAAATGTTAATGCAAAGACTATCAATCATACTAATACTTCGTACTAGTATATATCAATGCTATACTTGTTGGGGTAACATTAGCATTATCCCTTATTACTCTTTCTATGTCATAATTTTTTTTTTACTTTTGACTTGACACAAAAATTAAAAAAAGAGTTATATGCACATATAGTTTCTGTGGTGCGGTGTTTCATAAGTGAATAAATAGTTCTCGAGCTTTCAAGAGTTGTCGAATAGTCTCCGTAGTCAAACAACCATAATATAATGAGTCCTTATATTAGAAAATTCATAAAATGTACACAACACGCATGTATTTTGCAAATATATCAATCATGTAAAAGTAAGAAAAGCTATTTTGAAGTTTCAGTTGTGATGTCTAACTTTGAACTATAGTACAATATCTTCCATCTTTTTGTTTAATTCTTACAATGAATTCTCCGTATTTTCTATAGTGATATTCTTGAATCGTATTACAATGTTCCATGTGAGCTCGCCATTATTCTGTTTTTCAAGTAGCTTTATTCTAAGGTAATATCGTGTGAAAAAAGAGCTAGAACAAGATCATTTCTTGTCTTTGACCACGAAGACGAGGAAAAATTCTAGAGATTAACTTCTTTTTTTATTACATACTTCACATAGTATACCTATGTTCGGTGTTTGACATTTTCCTTAAAGAAGGACTAATTATGCATCAATGTTTTGATCACATGGACTATTTTACATTTTTAAAAGTACATGAACTATTTATCAATTTATAAAAGCGACGTGGATTATTTATGCATATAACTCAAAAATAAAATCACACAATAAAAAATGATACAGATGAGAAAAAAACTATAAAAATTGAGTTATTACAATTTTTTATAAATGTAGAAAATTGATTTTTTTTTGAAAAAAGTAAGAGTAAATTCCATAAAATATTACTAATTTAGTCCTCAATTATTATATTAATTTCCACGAATGGTCCTTTGTTAACATTTTCATTAAGAACGTGGATAAAATTGTAAATTCACACATTTTTCTCTCTCCAATTAAGCTTTCTCTATCCCCTCGCACTCCTTTCCCAAACCCTTCGTTGAACTTGAATCTTTGAACCCAAAACCAAAATCATTTCAGTTTTGGATTTAGAGCTTCAAACTCAGCGATAAGTTTGGAAAAGAGTACAAGTGAATGGAGGAAGCTTAATTGAGAAAGAGAGTAGTATGAATATACAACTTTATCTATGTTCTTAACAAAAACGTTAACAAAGGACAATTTGTAAAAAATGATATACTAATAATTAGGAATTAAATTAATAATATTTGATAAATGGAGGGAGAGAAGGGGAGTAATTGAGCATACATAGGGAGGAGTCAAAGGGAGGGGGGGAGCAATAATAAATACGCCCATACCTCTCTCGCTCTCTCTCTTCATTATTTAATTTATTATTTCCCTCCTTACGTCGTCCTAATACTAACAGTTTTTGTTTAATTGCTGGAGTTTGTTTACCCTACCGCGGCACCGCTATATACACTGTACGCGGCCGCAACTTCCAGAGTCATCATCCCCACCTCTCCTCCCAAAGCATTCTTTTTTAAATCACCCCCTCCCTCAGCTTTATTATTCTACACGGAAAAACTTCAATTCATTTCTCTCTCTCTCTCTGCTCCTCATCATCTTCTTTCTTCTCCTCCTTCATAGCGGCGGAGTCTTTTTCTTTTATGGCTTCGCAGTTAAAGATGACGGCGGCCGTTGCTCTGGCGCTGCTGCTGCTGCATCTGTTTGCGGCTGCGAAAGCAGAGAATCCATACCGATTCTTTACTTGGAATGTTACCTATGGCACTATCTACCCTCTCGGCGTTCCCCAGCAGGTCGGTTATAAACTTATGCACTCATCTCTTTTCTTTTCTTTCTTCTTCTTCTGTTCGGATTAGATTTCAGTCGCATGGATCTGGCTTGTTTTTCTCTGGGATCTTCATTTGAAGTCTCAATTCGGAGGATTTTCTGGTTTCTGATTCCAATATCAGAGCGGATGCTGTTTGTAGCTTTGTTTTGTTCATCAGCATTCAAAGCAACTGACAGACATTCATTTTGTTTATTTTGTGTTGGTCTTTGTTTGTTCTCAGGGATTTTTGATTAATGAGCAGTTCCCAGGCCCAGAGATTCACTGCGTCACCAATGACAATCTTTACATCAATGTCTTCAACAACTTGAATGAGTCCTTCCTCATTTCTTGGTGAGCCCTTTTTTGGCCCTCACTGAGATTCTTTAATTACATTATTTGTCCTAGTGCGCGTCTTCATTTACCATTAACACTCCCAGATCTGATGGATCCTTTGAATGATCCCAAATTCATTTCATTCCTCCAACATCACACACTCATAATGGACTACAAATTGACTTCAATTTCTAAACGGTTCAGTTCTTAGATTGGTATGACAGAATTAACCAATACTTTTATCTTTCATGTTTATCAGCTGCAAAAATTCGTCCATATAAGAAACTACTCCATAACTTACATTCGCCTCCCTATATGTCTCCACAAGTTTAGCTTATAGTTGAACGGGCAACGATTTGAAAGCTCAAAAGCTGTTTTAATCTCAGAAAATGTGCAATCAATATTAAAGATTTGGAGTTCATTGTCGCAAATAAAGAGGTTCTGCTATGCGCAAAATTGGGCATGGCGGGATATATCGGAATCTATTCTAACCAACTAGGCATACATTTTTTTAGGTTCAAATTCTCATTAGAGAGTCTATTTTAAATTACAGGAATGGGATTCAGAATAGGAGGAATTCATACGAAGATGGAGTTTATGGAACAACATGCCCAATTCCTCCCGGAAAAAATTTCACCTACATTCTACAAGTGAAAGATCAAATTGGGAGCTTCTTTTACTTCCCTTCTCTTGCCTTCCACAAAGCAGCAGGTGGCTTTGGAGGCATCAGAATTCTCAGCAGGCCCGGAATTCCTGTCCCTTTTGATGAACCTGCAGGCGACTTCACCTTGCTTATCGGAGATTGGTACCTGAAAAATCATACGGTATCTTCACTAGGCTCCAATCTGTTCATTAGAGTGACAAACAGCATTGTCAATCCACTCCACTTGCATTGCATTTCTACTCTTCTCTACCCAATCAATGATTTAGTGCCTCTGTCATATCAATGCAGGGTTTGAAAAGGATTCTTGATGGAGGCCATAAATTGCCATTCCCTGATGGGGTACTTATCAACGGTCGCGGATCCAATGGCACTTCATTCACCGTCGAACCAGGTGATAATATGTGACCTGAGCAATTTTAGTATTTCATGTATGGATGGTTTAGAGCATATATCATATTAACACTTGACATTTATGTCTGACAGGGAAAACGTATCGGCTTAGGATTTCCAATGTTGGGCTGCAAAATACCCTGAATTTCCGCATACAGGGACACAAGATGAAATTGGTGGAAGTGGAGGGAACTCACACCATGCAAACCACTTTCTCCTCCCTTGATGTTCATGTTGGACAGTCGTACTCGGTGCTGTTCACAGCTGATCAGACCCCTCAAGATTACTTCATCATTGCCTCCACTCGTTTCACCAACAAGATCCTTACTACCACCGCTTTCCTTCGTTATAGCAACTCCAATAGCCCTCCATCCGGTCCCCTCCCCGGCGGGCCCACCATAGAAATTGATTGGTCCATCAACCAGGCCCGTGCCATCAGGTCAAATCTTACGGCAAGTGGGCCTAGGCCCAACCCACAAGGATCGTATCATTATGGTATGATAAACACTACCAAGACCATCATTCTCTCAAGCTCTGCTGCACAGGTGAATCACAAGCAGAGATATGCCATCAACAGCGTGTCATTTATTCCAGCTGACACTCCGCTTAAGCTCGCTGATTACTTCAAAATTGAAGGAGTTTTCCGCGTAGGAAGCATTCCATCTACCCCCACCGGTGGGGCCGTGCATCTCGACACTTCTGTCATGGGTACTGACTACAGGTCATTTGTAGAGATTGTGTTTCAGAATGACGAGAACATTGTCCAGAGTTATCATATTGATGGATACCAATTTTGGGTTGTTGGGTAAGTGTCTTATCATAATTTATGAGTTTACTGTGGAATTGCCATACGAGTTCTTCTGATGATAATAATAAATTAAAAATTGATTTTGAAATGCAGAATGGATGGTGGGAAGTGGACTGAAGATAGCAGGAAGAATTACAATCTTCGTGATGCAGTTGCACGCTCTACCACTCAGGTAAAAACCCAATAAATTGAGGATCTAACCATGCATGATGCATAGTTGAAAAGGGAGAAGAAAGAAAGAAAGAAGAATGTAATAATACAATGGTGTTGTGGAAATTGCAGGTGTACCCATACTCATGGACTGCTATTTACGTGGCTCTTGACAATGTGGGAATGTGGAATGTGAGGTCTGAGTTCTGGGCACGACAATACCTCGGACAGCAGTTTTACTTGAGGGTCTACACCGACTCGACCTCGTTGAGAGACGAGTATCTCATTCCATTGAATGCCCTTCTTTGCGGCAGAGCAGTCGGTCGTGACAAACGACCCTTTTAAGCTCCAGTGGACATTCTCTCATGGCTGGAAAGGTTAAAAAACAGGCAAAATGCTCCATCCACCTCCACCGCTCGGCTCATTGCATAAATTATGTGCAGTCGTGGGATTTTGCTCGTGTGTTACTACAGCACCGGAGGCCATTTCTTAGGTTGATGTCTTGATGACCTTATCTCAAGGTCAAATTCTTTAAGTTTCAACTCAAATATTGTATTTTGTTTGTTTTTCGTTCCACTATAGTTACTACTGGTTAATAACTATTGTTCGATTTTATTATGTAAAATTTGTTCCCTTTAGGACTCAAACATATGTGTTTTTCCTAAATAGATTTTCATTTGTGTTTTCCCATATATAGGAGTTAATTTCAGCTGTTTATCCAAAATTACCCTCGCCTAACCCAACGCATTCCTCCTCCATAGCTTCCCTTTTTATTTATGATTATGTTGTCATATTTAGAAGATAATGATTCATAACTTCTCCCATATTTTAGGTAATTTTGCCCATTTTTGCATCCATTAACCTCCCCTTTCATCCCGCACGTTTCTAGGTTTTCATCTTCCTCTGTCAAAGCCGGCCGCTACCATTCTTCGTCCCAATCTGTTCCCTATGCCATCGTCTACCATAAAAAAATATTTTTATACTCCCTCCGCCCCCCTAAGATGTTCTCATTTTGACTTTTGGTGGTTTTTAAGGAGAGTTGAAAAAAGGTGAAAGTTTACCATAATATCCTCAATGAAATATGGGTGGAGTGTATTAAATGAGGTGGGTGAGATGTAATAAATAAAGTAAGTAATATCCTCAATGAAATATGGGTGGAGTGTATTAAATGAGGTGGGTGAGATGTAATAAATAAAGTAAGTGAGGGTAGTTGTGGTGTTTTAATTGTTAAAAAATGAAATGAGAAGATCTATTGTGGACAAAGAAAAAGGGCTATTGAGAAGATTTATGGGGGACAGAGGGAGTATTAAGTTTCTAAAAATACATTTGATGTGATATGTAAAGTGAGTTTCTACCGTACACTCGACTACTTGAGTGTAAAAGTATACCCGATGAATTTTTAAATGCATCTCTTGTCCCTTACTTGTACGATAGAGTTTATCGTGTAGATTAGAATGTGATGAGTAGATTAATAAAAAGTAAATACGACATGAATGATATGGTAAGAATTAGTATACGTAAAAATAATTTCTTTAATAGAAATGCAAAAGATATTTTGGGGCAAAGAAAAAAAGAAAGGAGAGGAACTTTTAAGTATTTACCACAATGTGCATGCAAAAATGCACCAGTGCAATGAGTTATGTCAGGTGTACACCAGTGTATATAGATAAACACAAATAATTAATTATTATGTATGTGTGTCTGTAAATAATGATGTACAAGGTAAATCACAAAATCTTTGTGCAGAACTAAATTGCAAAATTGAACCCTAATTTAGACCAGGTAATGTATTCCGTCACCTTGAGAAATTCGTGCGTTAACAAGGTAATGCAATATCCTCAAGATTCGCCCCAAGTCTTTCCTTGTTCCGGTTGGATTCTCGGTAAAATAAGCGCCATTTTTTGCTCCGTATGTACTACAAAAACCGCATCAAGGAGGAGCCAGCGTTTACATGGAATATCAAGTGCAAAACGTTAGATACAAGAGTAATTTACTTAAATAGGACTAAAACATAATGACTTTCCCAATATAGGACCATATGTTTTTATTTCTCAATTTAGGACTTTTGGTCATTATCAAGTAGTCATTATTCAAGTAAATATCCATCATTATTGAACATTATTCATCCCACAAGATTATTATTAAATTCTATTTAGGGAATAAAAAAATTTAAGTCCTACATTAGTTTTAGTCCTATTTAGTGCAAATTTGACTAGATACAATCTTGTGAAAATGGTTCATGTTCTAGGCCCATTTAATATTTTTTCCCCATATTTTTTACCTCAATCAAAAAAGAAAAGAGTAAAATAGGGTTTTGTTTCAAATGAATGGAACGGAATGAAGGGGTGCTGCAAGGGGAGTCTCGCAATGATGTTGCGAGTCCAATGCTCTATATCATTTGCAACAAATATGAGCTCCAACTAGTCCCTTGTTACTATGGCTGTACGAATTCTGACTTGTTCTACTCCGCACCTGCTCACCGCACCACCGCCCTTAATCCGCCGTACCACCTTCTACAATCTACATAGTACAACGTTTTGAAGCTAGTGTTCACGCGAGAACTCGAATTCCGTGAACGATTACTCCGATCGGTCAAGTTCTAGGTCTCAAATTCATCGATTAAGGTATGAGATCCAACTCATCCCTTGTTACTATGGCTTTACGAATTCTGACTTGTTCCATTATGATTCCAGAAAAGATGAACAATAAGACTAAGCGTTCCATTTCATTCCTTGTTAGTTTACGCATGTTAATTTTGGTCTCATTGATTGACTAAAGTGTATCCCAATACTGTTGATGTTTTGTGTGTCTCAAATCGTTTTATGAATAATTTAATTTGTGGCTTAAATGGTAGACCATGATGATTACACGCAATTTGGTTTTTGATGCTATTTAGAAATTTATAAGTTGTAAGCAGTGGGTTTCTTACATGATTTGTATTAGGTAAATACCACTAATGTAAGTTTTATTCAGATTTATGACTGTGATTTACAAGTCAAGAAGTTTTATATTAACATACAGATTAAGTTAGATTGTCCTTAGTTATTAAATTGTTTTGCTAGCATAATTGTAAAACTGCTACAAAATCCACTTGAGCAGCCAAAATCAAGTACATAAACTTTGGGTCAGTTTCTTTTTTTTCTTGATGTCACTCTAGTGATATGAGTGACACTACTGTATAATTTTGAGTTCAAGTTCACCAATGAATCCTTCATGGATACGTATTATACATACTCAGGATTGCCAATATTTTGGATTACTAGTAAGGTAAGTGTGCAACCATAATGATCTAAAAATCTTAACTGTATTGAATGGGTACTTGGGTTAGCATCTTAAATTGTACCCCTTATTTCAAAGTATGTCAGTAGTTTAGCCTTACGAGCACGTGTTAGGGCTCATTGGTTGGTGCCTAGTGTTAATAACAACATTTTGTTCCTTTTTTGAAGGTATTCTTTTGACAGATTGGTACCTTGGGTTAATTGCGGGACTTTGTTTTCAGTTTGAAGGTAATATTTGAGAAGTTTGGAATTGCAAGGTAATCGTTTGGGTATTTGAGTAGATGAAATTCAAATCAAATTCGTTTTATTTGTACTTTGTTCATGCTATTTCCTTTCGCTGTGAATATTGACTCTAGATGGAAGGTAGACAGTCAACTGGTATCAACACGGACAAGGAAAAGTGCGCGCACTGTCGTGAAATGTATCCCTTACAATATGTTATGTCACATGAAGTGCTTTGCGAGGTAGGTGTTGATCTTAGCACCTTAGTTTAATATATTGTCTTGCTTTGTTGCTAATATCTGTTTTCTTTCTGTTTCTAGGCCAATCCTGCCAACCAGCATTTTTTGGTAAATGTCTTGAGAATGTATATTTAGTTGTCTTATTTTATTCTTTTTAATAACAGATTGTTGTTTTGTTTTGTCCAGGCCATTCTCGAACTATGCGAGTTCATTCCCAACTTACGTGAAAAACATGACCCTGCACCTGTGCTCATCGAAGGCAAGTATTTTTAGTAATGAGTAACGTTGTTTGACCCGCTGTGCGGGGGCGGTGGGGGGGGGATGGTTTTACCTCTTTACTCTCTCTCTCTCTCATAGTACCTCACAACTTCATGTTCTTGTTATCTATTGACATGATGAGATATCTGATCATCGTTATTGGTAAAGAGAAATCTGGAAAGACTACAATCATTAACAGATCGATTGGAGAGGATGGAGACTTTGAGAATTCTCCCAGGAGCTTTTTCAGTCAGTCATGTAGGAAATATGTCTTTATGGAGCCCTGCTTGGCGGACTTTGCACTTGTAGTCATAGATAGCTGTACGGATTTCCAGAAGACGTACCTAGCTAGCTGCTGATTTTTTAGAGCCGTGCTCACTTGCCAAGGCTTTCGGTTTCAAAAAGCTACTTCGCAGCTTTAGTAAGGTATTAGTTTAATTTTCTTTGTAAATTTATTTTACAAGGTGGATATGATACTAATTGGTATATTTTTGTTGTTTGCGGATGGATCTTGTTCACTACTCTGAAGAACAATGCATAAAGCTTAGAAGTGAGGCTACGAGGTATCTTTGCGATTTTGGATTCAGCGTGCTATTCATCAAATTTGTGCCTACTGCTGCGCTTGAGGACGAAAACGTAACAGAGAGACAAGGCTGTTTAGGTTGGTACAAGGAAGCAGCTTCTTTTCATATTTGGCGTGTATGGTAATGCGTCCCATGGAAGGATACTTTGATTCTTTCTCTGCCACTGCTGCTTCACAAACTACAAACAAAACAATCCTCAATTCACCCGCTTTCAGGGTGAGAGAAGAATATGGATCCATTTTTCTATCTTGCGATTCATCGAACAAGATATGGACGGCACCACAACTGTCACGGTACAAAGATACACTTGTGTAAAACTGGCATCTAAGTCTCTGCCGTGAAGAAGAGTGCTTTTTTCACGGAGTCTGGGACATCTACACCTTCACATCTACACCTTCACAAGAGGATGTGATGATGTTATCACAGATCCCCGTTTCACCATCTCATCAAGGGGACCTTCAAACACCAGCTCGACCACCTTACCTGCTGTAGCTTTAGCCACTTGTTTTCCACTCAATCTGATTGTCTCCAACTTTGTTACCCATGACTCAGGGTGGAAACTCAATTTTGAACCTGATTCAACCCGGCCCGAGCGAATGCGTGCTATTATGTTGCTTAGAGGACCCAGAGCATTGATTGCGGTACATATAGCAATACACAACATCTTCTCAATGCAGTAGATTCCTTGTACCAACCTAAACAGCCTTGTCTCTCTCTTACGTTTTCGTCCTCAAGATCGCAAATTTGATGCATAGCACGCTGAATCCAAGATCGCAAAGATACCTCGCAGCCTCATTTCTAAGCTTTATGTATTGTTCTTCAGAGTAGTGCACAAGGAAAATTAAACCAATTAGTATCATATCCACCTTGTAAAATAAACCAATTAGTATCATATCCACCTTGTAAAATAAATTGACAAAGAAAATTAAACTAATACCTTACTAAAGCTGCAAAGCAGCTTTTTAAAACCGAAAGCCTTGGCAAGTGAGCACGGCTCTAAAAAATCAGCAGCTAGGTACGTCTTCTGGAAATTCATACTACTATCTATGACTACAAGTGCAAAGTCCGCCAAGCAGAGCCCAGATATAATATTTTTTTTGTCTTCATAAGAGGGCTCCATAAAGACATATTTCCTACATGACTTGAGAGAATTCTCAAAGTCTCCATCCTCTCCAATCAATCTATTAATGATTGTAGTCTTTCCAGATTTCTCTTTACCAATAACGATGATCAGATTACTACCTTCATCTGTAAAAAACTGAAATATGAATAGATCATATATCTCATCATGTCAATAGATAACAAAAACATGAAGTTGTGAGGTACTATGAGAGAGAGAGAGAGAGAGTAAAGAGGAATGGCCTGGAAAAAACAGAACAGCAATCGTTATTAAAAAGAATAAAATAAGACAACTAAATATACATTCTCAAGACATTTACCAAAAAATACTCGTTGGCAGGATTGGCCTCGAAACAGAAAGAAAACAGATATCAGCAACAAAGTAAGACAATATATTAAACTAAGATGCTAAGATCAACACCTACCTCGTAAAGCACTTCATGTGACATAACGTATTGTAAGGGATACATTTCACGGGCAGTGCGCGCACTTTTCATTTGTTAGTGTTGATAATAACAGTTGACTGTCTACCTTCCATCTAGAGTCAATTTTCACAGCTAAAGGATATAGCATGAACAAAGAACAAATAAAACGATTTTGATTTGAATCTCATCTACTCAAATATCCAAACGATTACCTTGCAATTCCAAACTTCTCAAATATTACCTTCAAACTGAAAACAAAGTCCTGCAATTAACCCAAGGTAGCAATCTGTTAAAATAATACCTTCAAATAGGGAACAAAATGTTGTTATTAACACTAGGCACCAACCAATCAACCATAACACTTGCTCGTAAGGCTGAACTAGTGACATACTTTGAAATTAAGGGGTACAATTTAAGATGCTAACCCAAGTACCCAATAAGGGGTACAACTCAACATGGTATCTAGCGCATTTATGATTTTTAACACCAAATAACAGACCCACACTAACATTTACAAACAGCCCAAACAGTAGACACCAACACCCAAGTTCAACGAAGAAACCAAAACATCCAACAGTAGACTACAAAAGTTCAACAAAGAAACCAACAGTGACAAAGAAACCAACCGTAGAGTATACAAGTTCAACAAAGAAAGCACAACATCTAGCCAGCACCAAGTACAATGCTTAGAAAACAGTGACAGCTGCAATCAGTCCTTTGAAGCACTACCTGTGCTTGGTATTTGATAACTTCTTTGAAGCTTTTTTTTAGTGGCTGATTGGGAAGGGTTGCTCCACCCAGAAAAATAACTGCACTTATAGGAAGAGTAGTTGACTTTGATTTAGCTAAAGAAAGAGCTATATGACGAGCAACTGTGTCAACCACTTCCGTTTCAACGTCGGTTATCATATTAACAAGCAGCTTGTTTTCATATTCTGGTCTTAGATGCCAGTGTTACATAAGGGTAAACCGACGTTGAAACAGAAGTGGTTGATTACACAGTTCCTCGTCATATAGCTCTTTCTTTAGCTAAATCGAAGTCAACTACTCTTCCCATAAGCGCAGTTTATTTCTCTGGGTGGAGCAACCCTTCCCAATCAGCCACTAAGAGAAAAGCTCTAAAGAAGTTATCAAACACCAAGCACAGGTAGTGCTTCAAAGGATTGATTGCAGCCGTCACTGTTTTCTAAGCATTGACTGTGTCTTACTTGGTGCTGGCTGGATGTTGTGGTTTCTTTGTTGAACTTGTATACTCTATTGTTGGTTTCTTTGTCACTGTTGGTTTCTTATGTTGAACTTTTGTAGTCTACTGTTGGATGTTTTGGTTTCTTCGTTGAACTTGGGTGTTGGTGTCTACTGTTTGGGCTGTTTGTAAATGTTAGTGTGGGTCTGTTATTTGGTGTTAAAAATCATAAATGCGCTAGATACCATGTTGAATTGTACCCTTTATTGGGTACTTGGGTTAGCATCTTAAATTGTACCCCTTAATTTCAAAGTATGTCACTAGTTCAGCCTTACGAGCAAGTGTTATGGTTGATTGGTTGGTGCGTAGTGTTAATAACAACATTTTGTTCCCTATTTGAAGGTATTATTTTGACAGATTGCTACCTTGGGTTAATTGCGGGACTTTGTTTTCAGTTTGAAGGTAATATTTGAGAAGTTAAGAATTGCAAGGTAATCGTTTGGGTATTTGAGTAGATGAGATTCAAATCAAATTCGTTTTATTTGTTCTTTGTTCATGCTATTTCCTTTAGCTGTGAAAATTGACTCTAGATGGAAGGTAGACAGTCAACTGGTATCAACACTGACAATGGAAAGTGCTTGCACTGCCCGTGAAATGTATCCCTTACAATACGTTATGTCACATTAAGTGCTTTGCGAGGTAGGTGTTGATCTTAACATCTTAGTTTAATATATTGTCTTGCTTTGTTGCTGATATCTGTTTTCTTTCTGTTTCTAGGCCAATTCTGCCAACCAGTATTTTTTGGTAAATGTCTTGAGAATGTATATTTAGTTGTCTTATTTTATTCTTTTTAATAACGATTGCTGTTTTGTTTTTTCCAGGCCATTCCTCTTTACTCTCTCTCTCTCATAGTACCTCATAACTTCATGTTCTTGTTATCTATTGACATGATGAGATATATGATCTATTCTTATTTCAATTTACAGATGAAGGTAGTAATCTGATCATCGTTATTGGTAAAGAGAAATTTGGAAAGACTACAATCATTAATAGATTGATTGGAGAGGATGGAGACTTTGAGAATTCTCCCAGGTCATGTAGGAAATATGTCTTTATGGAGCCCTCTTATGAAGATAAAAAAAATATTATGTCTGGGCTCTGCTTGGCGGACTTTGCACTTGTAGTCATAGATAGCAGTATGAATTTCCAGAAGACGTACCTAGCTGCTGATTTTTTAGAGCCGTGCTCACTTGCCAAGGCTTTCGGTTTTAAAAAGCTGCTTTGCAGCTTTAGTAAGGTATTAGTTTAATTTTCTTTGTCAATTTATTTTACAAGGCGGATATGATACTAATTGGTTTATTTTTGTTCTTTTGCAGATGTATCTGGTCCACTACTCTGAAGAACAATACATAAAGCTTAGAAATGAGGCTGCATGGTATCTTTGCGAACTTGGATTCAGCGTGCTATGTATCAAATTTGTGCCTACTGCTGCGCTTGAGGACGAAAACGTAACAGAGAGACAAGGCTGTTTAGGTTGGTACATGGGTTCTACTTCACTTAAACAATTTGACAGAAGATGTTGCATATTGTTATAGGTACCACAATCGATGCTCCGGGTCCTCTAGGTAACATAATAACATGCATTCACACAGGTCGGGTTGATTACGGGTTAAATCCGGATCAGATTTAGGTTTTCACCCTGGGTCATGGGTAACAAAGCTGGAGACAATCAGATTGAATGAAAAATAAGTGGCTAAAGTTACAGCAGGGGAGGTGGTCGAGCTGGTGGTTGAAGGTCCCCTTGCTGAGATGTGTAAACGGGGATCTGTGATAACATCCTCCCGTGAAGGTGTAGATGTCCTAGACCCAGTGAAAGAAGCACTCTCTTTCACGGAAGAGCTTCTGGTCTTAGATGCCCCTTTTACACAAGGGGCCCAACAATATCTTTGTACTTTACATGAGGCCGATTCTATATCTTGTTCGATGAATCGCAAGATAGAAAAATGGAATCCAGATTCCTTTCTTACCCTAAAAGCGGGTGAATTGGGAATTGTTTTGTTTGTAGTTTGTGAAGCAGCAATGGCAGAGAAAGAGTCAAATTATCCTTCAATAGGACGCAATACCATACACGCCAAATATGAAAACAAGCTGCTTGCTGTTGGTGTGATAATCGAAGTTGAAAGAAGAGTGGTTGACACAATTCCTTGTCATATAGCTTTTTCTTTAACTAAATTGAAATCAACTACCCTTCTCATAAGTGCAGGTTATTTCTCCGGGTGGAGCAACCCTTCCCAATCAGCCACTAAGAAAAAAGCTACAAAGAAGTCATCAAACACCAAGCACAGTTAAATGCTTCAAAAGATTGATTGCAGCGGTCACTGTTTTCTATTGATTGATTGTGTCTTATTTGGTGTGGCCTTGTTTTCATATTTAGCGTGTATGGTAATGCGTCCCATGGAAAGGTACTTTGACTCTTTCTCTGCCAGTGCTGCTTCACAAACTACAAACAAAAGAATTCCCAATTCACCCGCTTTTAGGGTGAGAGAAGAATCTGGATTCTATTTTCCTGTCTTGCGATTCATCGAGCAAGATATAAACGACACCGCAACTGTAAAATCGGCCTCATGAACAGTACAAAGATATTGTTGGGCCTTTTGTGTAAAACTGACATCTAAGACCAGAAGCTCCACCGTGAAAGAGAGTGCTTCTTTCACGGGGTCAGGGACATCTACACCTTCACAGGAAGATGTTATCACAGATCCCCATTTCACCATCTCAGCAAGGGGACCTTCAACCACCAGCTCGACCATCTCCCCTGCTGTAACTTTAGCCACTTGTTTTCCATTCAATTTGATTGTCTTCAGCTTTGTTACCCATGACCTAGGGTGAAAACTCAATTTAGATCCTGATTCAACCCGGCCTGTGTGAATGCGTGTTATTATGTTACCTAGAGGACCCGGAGCATCGATTGCAGTACCTATAGCAATTCGCAACATCTTCTTGGCTTTCAATGCAGAAGGTAGTTTGTCTAATTGTTCAAGTAAAGTAGAACACATGTACCAACCTAAACAGCCTTGTCTCACGTTTTCGTCCTCAAGCGTAGCAGTAAGCACAAATTTGATACATAGCAAGCTGAATCCAAGTTCGCAAAGATACCACGCAGACTCATTTCTAAGCTTTATGTATTGTAATTCAGAGTAGTGGACCAGATCCATATGCAAAAAACAAAAAATAAACCAATTAGTATCATATCCACCTTGTAAAATAAATTGACAAAGAAAATTAAACTAATACCTTACTAAAGCTGCAAAGCAGCTTTTTATACCGAAAGCCTTGGCAAGTGAGCACGGCTCCAAAAAATCAGCAGCTAGGTACATCTTCTGGAAATCCGTATTACTATCTATGACTTCAACCACCAGCTCGACCACCTCCCCTGCTGCAACTTTAGCCACTTGTTTTCCATTCAATCTGATTGTCTCTAGTTTTGTTACCTATGACCCACGGTGGAAACTCAATTTTGATCCTGATTCAACCCGGTCTGTGTGAATGTGTGCTATTATGTTGCCTAGAGGATCAGAGCATCGCTTGCAGTACCTATAGCAATATGCAACATTTTCTTGGCTTTCAATGCAGAAGGTAGTGTGTCCAATTGACTTTGTAAATATTAGTGTTGGTGTGTGCAGTGAATTATAGTGCTTTTTCTACTCTTCAAAACGTTTTGCTTTTTAACTTCAACTTTGATTGAAAAATGACGGATGTGTCGCCAACACTACCATGCAGTGTTGCTGAAGTAGGTACAGTACAAATATGCAATACTCATATATTCATGTAGATATCCAAAAGGTTTAGCAATGCACCATTGTATCATCATAAATTCATGGCGCAACTATTTACTTAATATTTGATAACATGTATGTTAGGGGTTCTAGGCTTGGATGAGAATATCAATAAAAATTATCCAGTCCTTTTAGGAAAATATAATTTACACTAATTCCCTTAGGTAGTGTTTGACAACTAGCATTTCATTTCAATTTATGCATTTCAATTCCAAAATTTAAAATCCTTAATTTCCATTCATAGATTTCAAATTAGTTTTCTTATGAATAAGAAGAATTTGATTCAAATTCAAATTCAAAAATTTTAAGTTTTCCAAACATGGAATTTGAGCCAAATCCGGATTACACTTTTAGTCTTCCAATTGAATAAAAAAATTCATGTTTTTGACATTTTAAAAAGTATACACTTAGGTCTTGTTCTCTTCACATGAACTGAATGATTCTGATCTGATTGAAATAAATTATGATCTGATTTGGTCTGATCTAAATGTAGTTATATTTAAATCTATTTTCGATCTAATCTGATCTAGTTTCATCTGATTCTAATAAAAACCAATAACACGTTAAATTTTATTATTATTTTTAGTTTTGGCCTCGAGCTCTTAGGGTACCATCAAATGTTTCAATATAAAAAAGACTTGTCAATAATGTCTAAATTATTATTTTTTTAGTTTTGCCTCGACCTCTAGGGGTACCATCAAATATTTTGGCCAAATTTAAAATCAATTGCAAAATTTGACATAGATGTTTCTATTTGATTGTAAAATCCTTTGTAAAAGTTTCATATAAAAAAGACTTGTCAATAATGTCTAAATTATTATTTTTTTAGTTTTGCCTCGACCTCTAGGGGTACCATCACATTTTTTGGCCAAATTTAAAATCAATCAAAAAAAGTTGCAAAATTTGAGATGGATGTTTCTATTTGCATGTAAAATCATTTGTAAAAGTTTCATGTAAAAAAGACTTGTGAATAATGTCTAAATTATTATTTTTTTTAGTTTTGGCCGCGAGCTCTAGGGGTATGCACCATTACATTTTTTGGATAAATTTTATATTCAACAAAACAAAGTTGTGAAATTCGACATGGATGTTACTATTTTCATGTACAATTCTTTTTAAAAGGTTGATATCAAAAAGACCTTTCAATAATGTATAAATAATTTTTTTTGTTTTGGCCTCGAATAGCTTCTAAACGTGCTACGGGTGCATAAGTTTCTTCAAAATCAATGCCTTCTTCTTGATTGTAGCCTTTAGCTACGAGCCTAGCTTTGTTTCTAGTGATTATTCCATTTTCATCAAGTTTGTTACGGAACACCCATTTCGTACCAATAATCGTACGATCATCGGGCCTTGGCAACAATTCCCAAACGTCATTCCGTTTGAATTGGTTTAGCTCCTCTTGCATAGCCAAGGTCCAATGTTCATCGTTTATTGCTTCGGAAATGGTTGTAGGTTCAATTTGAGAAACAAAAGCCATGTGACCTACGGTGTCCCTAAGAGAGTTACGAGTACTTACCCCGCGGTTGATGCTGCCGATTACCTGGTCAAGTGGATGGTTCNGTTTCTTCAAAATCAATGCCTTCTTCTTGATTGTAGCCTTTAGCTACGAGCCTAGCTTTGTTTCTAGTGATTATTCCATTTTCATCAAGTTTGTTACGGAACACCCATTTCGTACCAATAATCGTACGATCATCGGGCCTTGGCACCAATTCCCAAACGTCATTCCGTTTGAATTGGTTTAGCTCCTCTTGCATAGCCAAGGTCCAATGTTCATCGTTTATTGCTTCGGAAATGGTTGTAGGTTCAATTTGAGAAACAAAAGCCATGTGACCTACGGTGTCCCTAAGAGAGTTACGAGTACTTACCCCGCGGTTGATGCTGCCGATTACCTGGTCAAGTGGATGGTTCTCATGCGTTCTCCAAGTGATGGGAAGCTCGGTTTCCTCTTGTTCCTGGGCTTCCTCTTGTCCTTCTTCGTCCGCTTGGTCCTCATTTTCGACCATCACTTAAGGTGTTTCCTCAGGTTGTGGTTGCGGGTTGGTGTATAATGGCGTGTCTTCTTCATCGTCTTCAACGTGTAATCTTTCGAGTGAATCTGCAAGATCATCACAAATAGCCTTTCTTGCCAAGCGAGTATTATCTTCGGAAAATACAACATGAGGGGACTCCTCAATAGTCAAAGTACGTTTATTAAAAACTCTATAGGCCTTGCTGCGTAGAGAATAACCAAGAAAAAACCCTTCGTCCGACTTGGCATCAAAGTTTCCCAAGTTATTTTTGCCGTTATTATGAACAAAACATTTGCAACCAAAGACTCGAAAATGGGAAAGGTTTGGCTTTCTTCCTTTGTATAATTCATAGGGCGTTTTCATGAATATCGGTCGAATGACGCCTCGGTTTAACACGTAGCTCACGGTACTCACGGCATCTGCCCAAAAATACTTAGGGATTTTTGCCTCATTGATAATTTTTTATCTCTTTAGTTTTGGTCTCGAGCTCTAAGGGTACCATCACATTTCTTGGCCAAATTTTAAACTCATCAAAAAAGTTGAGAAAATTTGACATGGATGGTTCTGTTTGCATGTAAAATCCTTTGTAAAAGTTTCATGTGAAAAAGACTTGTCAATAATGTCTAAATTATTATCTTTTTAGTTTTGACCTCGAGCTCTAGGGTTACCATCACATTTTTTGGCAAAATTTCAAATTCATAAAAAAAGTTGCGAAATTTGTCATGGATGATTCTGTTTGCATGTAAAATCCTTTGTAAAAGTTTCATGTGAAAAAGGCTTGTCAATAATATATAAATTATTATATTTTTAGTTTTGGCTTCGAGCTCTAGGGGTACCATCATAGTTTTTGGCAAAATTTTAAATTCATAAAAAAAGTTGTGAAATTTATCATTGATATTTCTGTTTGCATGTAAAATCCTTTGTAAAAGTTTCATGTGAAAAAGATTTGTCAATAATGTCTAAATTATTATCTTTTTAGTTTTGGCCTCGAGCTCTAGGGTTACCATCACATTTTTTGGCAAAATTTTAAATTCATCAAAAACGTTGCGAAATTTGTCATGGATGTTTTTGTTTGCATGTAAAATCTTTTGTAAAAGTTTCATGTGAAAAAGACTTGTCAATAATGTCTAAATTTTTTTCGTTTTAGTTTTGGCTCGAGCTCTAGGGGTACTATCACAATTTTTGGCCAAATTTTAAATTTATCAAAAAAGATACGAAATTTGTCATGGATGTTTCTGTTTGCATCTAAAATCCTTTGTAAAAGTTTATCGTGAAAGAGACTTGTCAATAATGTCTAAATTTTTATCTTTTTAGTTTTGGTCTCGAGCTCGAGTGGTACCATCACATTTTTTGACAAAATTTTAAATTCATCAAAAAAGTTGCGAAATTTGTCATGGATGTTTCTGTTTGCATGTAAAATCCTTTGTAAAATTTTCATGTGAAAAAGACTTGTCAATAATGTTTAAATTTTTATCGTTTTAGTTTTGGCCTCGAGCTCTTGGGGTACCATCATATTTTTTGGCAAAATTTCAAATTTATCAAAAAAGTTGCGAAACTTGTCATGGATGTTCTATTTGCATGTAAAATCCTTTGTAAAAGTTTCATGTGAAAAAGACTTGTCAATAATGTCTAAATTATTATCTTATTAGTTTTGGCCTCGAGCTCTACGCGTACCATCACATTTTTTGGCCAAATTTTAAATTCATCAAAAAAGTTGCGAAATTTGTCATGGATGATTTTGTTTGCAAGTAAAATCCTTTGTAAAAGTTTCATGTGAAAAAGACTTGTCAATAATGTCTAAATTATTATATTTTTAGTTTTGGCCTTGAGCTCTAGGGGTACAATCACATTTTTTGGCAAAATTTTAAATTCATCAAAAAAGTTGTGAAATTTGTCATGGACGTTTCTATTTGCATGTAAAATCCTTTGTAAAAGTTTCATGTGAAAAAGACTTGTCAATAATGTATAAATTTTTATCTTTTTAGTTTTGGTCTCTAGCTCTAGGGGTACCATCTTATTTTTTGGCCAAATGTTAAATTCATCAAAAAAGTTGCGAAATTTGTCTTGGATGTTTCTGTTTGCATGTAAAATCCTTTGTAAAAGTTTCATGTGAAAAAGACTTGTCCATAATGTCTAAATTTTTATCTTTTTAGTTTTGGTCTCGAGCTCTAGGGGTACCATCACAATTTTTGGCCAAATTTTAAATTCATCATAAAAGTTGCGAAATTTGTCATGGGTGTTTCTGTTTGTATGTAAAATCCTTTGTAAAAGTTTCATGTGAAAAAGACTTGTCAATAATGTCTAAATTATTATCTTTTTAGTTTTGGCTTTGAACTCTAGGGTTACCATCACATTTTTTGGCAAAATTTCAAATTTATCAAAAAAGTTGCGAAATTTGTCATGGATGATTCTGTTTGCATGTAAAATCGTTTGTAAAAGTTTCATGTGAAAAAGACTTTTCAATAATGTCTAAATTATTATATTTTTAGTTTTGGCCTCGAGCTCTAGGGGTACCATCATATTTTTTGGCAAAATTTTAAATTAATCAAAAAAGTTGCAAAATTTGTCATTGATGTTTCTATTTGCATGTAAAATTCTTTGTAAAAGTTTCATGTGAAAAAGACTTGTCAATAATGTATAAATTTTTATCTTTTTAGTTTTGGTCTCGAGCTCTAGGGCTACTATCATAGTTTTTGGCAAAATTTCAAATTCATCAAAAAAGTTGTGAAATTTGTCATGGATGTTTCTGTTTGCATGTAAAATCCTTTGTAAAAGTTTCATGTGAAAAAGGCTTGTCAATAA